GTCATTAGTTCTTGAACTCTGCGACTTATATTCTTATATTTAAAAATCTTACTTTGTTTTTAGAAAAAGCAGGCCGCATTGACTTCCATAATACCGTTTTCTTTGAATGACAGTTCGATGCCTGATTTGAGGAAAAAAAAATTCAATCACAGGACACTTACGTCAGTTTATGAACAACAACAAAAAAACGAGAACGAACCTATTAAATGAGAGGAAAGCTTTCGGTGATACTGAAGAGTCAATTTGAAAAATGCAGTATTGTCAGATCTGGGTAATTTTTACGCACAATGGTATAACGGGTAATGGCTTTGAGATTTTTCTCAACAGTTAATTTATAGTAATCTCAACGTTGTTTTTTCAGCTTATTTCTCGGCGTGTGACGCTTACCCATAAGTTCACTTTCTTTCCGATAAAAGACAATTGATAAACGACAAAAATGACCATTTTGACGAAGCTTGTTCTCTTAATCGAAAGTGTAACTTACTTTCCATGAACACAACAACATTCATTTATGTCTCAACCTTACGACTCTTCACCTGTATTTTTCTTGTTTTTTTCTCTTTTACTTTGTTCTAAGGATCTGTCGTCATTGTAGTATATACCCTGAACATCATCACTGTCAAGCTGTATAGAGCCCATTTCTTTTCTAAACCATCAAAAACTTGAAACATGAATGATCTTAATCGATGGTTAAGTGATTATCAGATAAATTGGCATGTGTCTTAATACGCTCGTGATCTGAATACAAATAAGTTCACTACTACTACTGCGAGATCACTTAAGCGACAATTGCATAAGAGCTGTCAAAAAACATGAGTTGTTAAGTGAAAATACACTTTTCTGACAAACAGACGAAAGCAGTGAACTATGAATATTTTACTTATTTGCCGCAGTCTTGGATTCATCCTCCCTGACGGAAATGAAAGGGTGACCGTTTGTGAGACAAAACACTTTTATAGAAGGAATGTTACTGCTTTTTTCACTCTTTTGAAAAGAGCGTTTGGTTTTTATGATTAGATTCTCTTCACAGATTTCAGCTTTCTGTATTTTAGCTTGATTTTTAAACGTTTTTTTTTTTGGGAGGGGGGGGAATAAGACACAGAGACAGGAAAAAGCAATTATGGAGCAGGTAAAAAATTAATAGGCCTAATAGGCTTCTTTACCATAGCGCTCGGCCTCGGCTGAGCGTTATGGTAAACTGTTTGATCGGCTTGACCAAGAGCCCTGCTGGTTATTATTAGATCTCGGTATACATATGCAAATTATCATCAATTAGCGTTTTAAAAATTAAAACTTACATGTAAAAAAAAGGAATTTACTTTTGTAGCACGTTTTGGTGATGAGACATTTACGAAAGCAAAACCCATCCTACGCAGTTTACCCTTTTGCAGCGGATCCCTTTGCGTGATCAAGTTTTTTTGTTTTTAAAACAGCAGTGCAGCTGAAACATTAATCACTTCCACTTGCAAGGATTTCAACGGTAGTAGACGAAAACAAAAGCGATTTTACGGTTCCAGAAAATCTCTGGATGGGCTTAAAAATTTCAGGTATTCAAGAAATATTGTAAGGTATATATTGCGAATTATGTTTCAGCTAAAATAAGTAGGATAATTGAATATCACGATGAAGCGAGGATTTTATTTCAACGTGCATGTAGCATATCAAAATGGCAAAGAAATGAAACGGCTTTTGCACTCTTTATTACTGTCTTAGTTCGAAAAGCAAAATAATGTAGAAACAAAGAAACTGAAAAATTGTTTGTATCTGCTCGTTTTGTTGTGCAAATATGAATGTTTTCTTTTCTATTAAATATTCGGTTTTATTGCTTGAGACGGAGTGAACACGCAGAGCCTTTGTGCAAAGTTGATAGTTTTAAACAGTCTGGCCATGGCTGAGGAGCTTAGATAAGGCTCACGAAAATCACAAATTTTTAGGTAAGTTCGCCAGTAGATTGAAATAGATTTACCTTTTAAAGTACTGTTCAAAATCGAAATTATTCAAAATGATCTTTTGCGACTGACAGCTCTGATATTTTTTCCTTATTCCCTAGACACATCGGAGAAGGCTCAAATTTTATTTACTTATACAAAAGAACATGGTTTGGGTTTTTTCGAGTTCCATCTCTGGATATTCTTCAGTTTAAACTAGGCGCATCGGAAATGAAACTTCACTAATGTTCTCTCATGTAGACAGTTTTCGCGGTACGGGAAACATTATACAGTACTTTGGGCGACAGTCGGTGTTGATTTTCATCACGAGGATTACGACGACTCCCTGAAGAAGAGGAAGAATAATAACCGACCGTGCACTTTGCGTTGTAAATTTTGGCAAATCTTGTGGATTTCGCTGCACTGACTACATCAAACTGAAACAAGGTGCGCAGCTTTTTTTTCGCAATTGTATCTCGTTCTCTTTATATATTGATTGGAAATTTTTTTTATAAAGATGACTGCATGACGTCGAATGAAAGAGCGAAGAGTGAATTCGTGTTTCAAAGGGTCCTTAGATCGCCATGGCGTAGCTGTTGACATTAGCCGTCGACGTCCCTGAAAATTGAAAATGTAGCGTAAATGCTGATCCGATCCTTGAATAATTTTCTTCTTTCCTCGGATAGTTTCTGAAATGAGGGATTTACGGTCACTTAGTCTTTAGTTCCATGGTCTTTTCATTCGAGGTCAGTTCCTTCCAAATTTCGGTTAGATCGTTTCGATATACAGTCACCTCGTTCCACTACGAAGTGATATCGTTCCAATTCTGATAGTACGAACTTTCTTGCTAGAATTCGAAGAGGGATTTTCTTTTAATACTCATCAGAGAATCGGAGTGTCATAATTGCCTACTCGTGCATTATAATAATCATCATGTAAATATGAGAGCGAACTTCACTTTTTGAGCAGTAGTGAAAATAAGGCCTGAAAAAAAAACCAAAAACAGAAAAATTCAGGCCTGCAATAAACCCGTGAAGTGATGAATAAATAACTGAAAATCAAGAAGCGTTCATAAAGATCGCTTTCATAATCACGTTTTTATCTGTAGTATTTATTCAGGTGTATTTGAAACCAAAGAACTCAGCTCCCAGTTGGCTTATTGGCTCAGTTGGTAGAAAACTGCACCGGTATCACCGGGGTTCAAATCCCAGACAGGCCTGAATTTTTTTTTTTTTTTTTTTCAGGCCTTATTTTCACTGTTGCTCAATCACGTCTTTATCCGCATTACACATAAATGTTTTTCATATATTCACAGTTATTTAATGATCATCGTATTCATCTACACGCAGCTGTAACGTGTTTTCGGACCTGTGCTTGTCCGATGTTGTGTGGGGTTGAAATGCTGAACTATCTATAAAGGTCTTACGTAATTTTTTTACATAAAGCTCTTTGTACTGTAATAATTCGGAAAGTTTCTGTGTCCGACTCTCTTAGATCGTTTTTGGCGAATGAAACTTTTTTGTGATAAGATGAGACTTCGAAGTGGAACAATGTGACGTATTTTTGAAGTGAAGTGTCTTGGAACGAAATGGCCGAAAGGAGAATGGGAATTAGGGAATGAGAAATGATGAATGGGGAATTAGGGATGGAAAAGGAAATCGGGAATGGAAAACCAGGAACGGAAAATGGGCACAGCGGATAGGGAACGGAAAAAGTAGAACCGGAAAATAAGGATCGGAAAATAGAAAACGGAAATTAGGGAACTGGGAATGGGAAAAATCCGCATTAAGTAACATCTCCTTAGTTGTGGTTCTTCAGAAATGTCAGATAAGACTTCATTTCTGGCAAAGTCGCATATAATTCCAACAGTAGTTTCTAGACTTCTATTTTGGGCGTAGTTAACTCTTGCTCACGGACGCATCCCCAAAGTCGTTATCCACGACTCGATAGTGGTGGAGAAGTGAAAAAACGGGGGAGGTTTGGGTCGGGTCTCGACCCAAACCTCTGTCGCTATCACTCCTCCGTTACCATCGCACCATTTATAAAATCGCTCCCTTTCACCGACGAAGCGCCTGCAACAGCTGTTAACAGGCTGATAGATGACATCATTTCCTCATCTTAACTTAAATGTTAGTTTTTAACCTCAAAATGCGGATCTTACGATATGATAATCAGACACCCGGTCGAATTTAAATTTAACCGTACAATAAGGATAGAGGGAACAAAGTATTCTGTGAGTACCAAATAGGACTGCTTGTTTTTTAAATTAATCAGCTTGGGCTCTTAGTATCTATGGTTTTTTTCTGGCAATAGAAATTCAATCTTTATGTTACGGTGTAAGTAAAACTAAGAAAAATAGAGCCTGTGCCAGTCTCATTACTGTAAGTGCGACGTGGTTAGAAGCGGTAACATTAGTAACTCAGAAAAGGAAAATTGAAAAAGGTTTTTTCCTCATGAGTCAAGTGTCATATCAATGTTGTTAATGATGGAACGTGAGTTGGCACAAAATGAGAAGTGACAGAATATAGAAGGCAATATTAATTTCCCGCGATAAGCATATTTCACATGACAGCAAGATGATTGAAAAATTAAAATTTTTAATCACCAGTGTTTTTCAAGTGCAAGATAGTTGTATCTTCTTTTTTATATTAGCTGGGAGGGAGAGGTCAAACTACACGAAGCTTTACTACTTAATACCTTCTGTATAATGATATACAAGTGTATAGCTGATGTTTTTGTAGCTATTGAGGAGAATGCGCGCTAGATAAGATAGATAGGAACTATAATTTTTAGTTACATTACTAATTCTTGGTTGGTAACTTTGATCAGGATCTGATATTCATATTTTTCCACTTTGATGTCGAGTTATTATAACTAAATTGAAAACAATACGGGTTACTATATTAACTAACCTTTAAAATACAAACAAATATGAAAAATTTTTAATAGAATGACCAACAACAGAAGGAAATTATCAGTCAAAGTAAGTCAATGTTCAAATAGTCAAATTTTCACCAACCCGAAATAATATTGCATCACGTTTTAATTAAAATGTGAGACGCAAATGTCACCCACTTTGTTTGACCTCCATAATTTCAAAGACGGTACATTAAATAACACCACTTAATATTTGACGATTCTATTTCAAGATACAGTCTCCACTGTCTGAGCAACATCGATACACTATTAAACCTCACCGGATGAATAGAATGTCTCGTCACCTGAACGTTACCGAGCAGGCCAACTTGACAAACCTGAAGTAAGAACATTTTTTTGCGAGCATAGCCCTATTCTCGTTATTTTTCATCTTTTTAAGTGTGATTTTCGCATCAGTGTTATGAGACGGCAAGCAGTTTGCCTCGCAGTTCTGGCTGCGCTATCTGAATGACTAAAAACAGCCGTTTTAAGATCGGTCCTTGGTATTTGCTCCAAATTAAAGAAACTTCTTTGCGGTTTTGTTCACGAAAGAACGGTTTACTGTTTTCGTTTTTCGCTTGTCCAGCCTAAAGGTCTCGTTATCCCAGTCCCCTGTTTAACTGAACCGCAGCCTCGGCGATTTTCCGATCTATAGCTTTTTTTTTTTCAATAGTTGTCTGATGAAAATTTTTGGGCCTAATTTGCGGTTCCTGATGAGAGCCTAGGGTTTTTATTTCTGGCGACCATCATCGATCGATTGAGCTTCATGCTAATTTAGCTTTGTTTTTGTTTGACGAGTTTCAGCCATCCTTTAAAAATGGGTTTCGTTTTAAGTGACATATAATTAGGACTGGTTTAATTAATTTCCTACACAAGCCCGGGCCACCTGTCTCAAAGAACTAACCAAATTTTGCCTTTCTGTTTGGGTTCAGGATAATGGACAACTCAGGAAAACCTCAATGGTTTACTGTCCTGGGCTGGCTTCTGACTGCCCTCGCTTTCACAGGCAATATCTTCATCATCATTTTAATTGCTTCGAAAACACGCCTTCAGCGCATTACCAATTGGTTTCTTTTGTCTTTGTCCGTGGCAGATCTTGGAGTAAGCTTGAGTTTGTATCCTGGTTTATACTTCTGTTTACCTAACGTTGAGAACGGGTGCCATTACATTTTGCTTGCCATCTTTCAGTGGGTATTCTTGTACGCATCTGTGACCAATCTATGCGTGTTGACATTGGACCGCTACATGGCGATAGTCAAACCCTTTGTTTATGCCAGTTTCATGTCAAAAAACTGTGTTTTGGCGCTCATCAGCATGGCCTGGATTCTACCGTTCGTGGCCGGTTTTGTACCTTTAACTCTTATACAAACGAAAGACGGTATAAGGTACTTCACCTTTGTAGCGGCGATCGTTTTTGAGCTCATTCCCTGGGTAAGCTTGCTGCTAACCACGATACAGTTGCTATTTATCGCCAGAAAACATGTCCGCGAGCGGTCTGCAGTTGTGAAACAGCTACGCTACAATGACTCCACTACAACAGGAACTGAAAACACGCCGCCCTTGCGCCAAGGAAACAGGGCTCGAAACTCCATCGCTTTCATCGTTTTTGTGGTAACATTTTACATTCTCTGTTACTCCCTAACTGCTGTTAAGAGCGTGTGCAATTTTTTGCCGTTTTGTCCAACTGCTTCAGATAACGTGGAACAGGCGCAACAATTACTGCTGATTGCAAACTCTGCGTTCAACCCCCTCGTTTATGGATTACTCAAACAGGACATTAAGCGGGAAATAAGCAAGCTTGTACACTGTGGTTGCTTCAAAAGACAGCTCTCTTCATTTCAAATGGAACAGAGATGCTGATAACTTCAGAAATACAATGCACAGGCGCAAGCAGATCTGAAATTTTCCAAGAAACAAATCGAAGAGCTTCCTTCTTCATTCCAACCTCGCCCGAACATTTCAAAACCTTTCGGACAAAAGAAAAGGAACTCAAAATGACGGAACCATACGGAACTCAATGTAAAGAACAGATTAGTCTAAAAAAAATTAATGATTTATTTATTCTGGTCTATTTCCCTTTATTTATGTAAGTAATTATTGTACAGTAGTAAAACTTTCGCCAATCTTTGATAATAACGAAAAAATATATGTAACTGATTTCAATCAATTTTTCCATCGTAATTGTAAATGTTGTAAAATTGTAGAAGTATATTATAGAATATTTAAATAATCTTTGAATACTTAACCTTGTTTGAAAACATATCAGTGAAGCCTTTTAGTTTTAACTAGACTTGTCACTCAAGCAGCTTTCCTTATTTCATGGTTGGGAATATCTGTGTGTGAAGACTGTAGAATTAAATGAACTGAAAACAATGCAGATGCTCAAATTTTCCCTGCTAATTGCAATGCTACCCTATCTTGGTAAATAACACATATGTTGAACATCTTATCAGCGTTTCCCAATAAATTTCCATGCTAATGATTTACACCTATGAGAAGAATGAAGGCGGAGTTCGAAAGTTTATTTTGATTTTTCTAAACCTAAAAGCGTTCTGCAACAACAGGAAACAAAACTTTTACTTTGATAGAGAGAAATCCCTTCCTTTTCAGTTATTTCCTGAAAAACTGACATTTCCGTCTGAGGATCACAAGCAGCAGAGTGCTTCATTATACACTTAGTCATGCTGCTCAATTCGGATCTTACATCGACTGTATATGTTATTATCTTCCTCCGTTTTTCAGCGAAAGTTATTTGGCTGAACTATGTAAAGCAGGGCGTGAAATTGCGCCTAATACAGACGCCAATGCGACTAAATTTTTCACTTTGGCGACCAAATCCTGAAAATTAGTCGCCAAATTGGCGACTAGAATGCTTCATCATATCCTTAGAAAGATAAAGCCGCTGCAAACTTCCCCGTTAAGTCTGTTTCCAATACGCAGCACATACATCTAAATCGATGACTAGACGCCATCTTGGATTTAGGCGAGCTTGAACGTTGTATATTATCCATCATAGAGTCCAATTTGTAGCACGTTAAAGATCTTTCTCCTAACTTAATTTTGGAGGGTCTATCTAGAACGCTAACGGCTAAAAAAAGTTTTTGTTTGTCTTTGAAAATGGCGACCAGCTTTTTTTGAATTGGCTACCACCTTGAAGAATTTAGGAGCCAAGAAAAAAAAATTAATTTCACGCCCTGTAAAGGCTGCGAATGACCTCAGCCTAAGGATATTTAGTCGAAGAAAATTGGTGTGTCGCGTCTCATTGGCGTTTGAACAAAATCGAAAGAAGCAAAATAATGAAACGGCGTCTTCGTCAATTACCATGCATGGAACTTGTTTTTCGTGTCTTCTCTTACATTAAACAACTTAAAGTCACCTTCTACGAATGAAACTGACCCTCTAACCGATGACAAACATTTCCAAATGAAAACATGTCAACCATTCCTTTGTGCGGAAATATTTCAAAAGAAAATGTGTCAACATTTTACAGTTTTTTCCAAGACCGATTGAAATTTCCAATTTAGGCAATGGAGAACGGGATTTTAAACAATTATCTGCTGTCTTCTTTTAGTAAACGAAAAACAGAAATACAATTATCATATACAGGGGAATTGATCAGAAATTTCCATCCTAGAACACTGATTTGCATCAAAGTTCAGTCGTGCGGAGTATCATTCGACCTCCGCCTTTCAGCTACAGCTTTTGCCATAAAGAATGCTTGCGTTTTTGGTTAAAATGAAAAAGTGAATCATATTAATTTTGTGACGGAATTTTTTTAGTCACATCACCTACACTAATGTTGATTATGCACGCAGTAAGAGTGAAGGTAGTGAATCGTCTGTTTTCGTTTTCCTAAATAACCGAAGTCTCTGCTTAAAAGAACTTTACTCTTCATTTTTAAAAGATCCCTTTGTCTGTTACCCCATTACCGAACATTTTTCTTCGTTTCAGTTTTACCGTCTTGCACTGGCAGATACATTATGACCCCAATATATCTTTTTTTAGGCGCAATACACGCATCATCATGTGCGTTACAATAATACGTACACGTAAAAGCCTCTACGTAACTTGCCTAAGGTCAGCGGGAGATGGCCTCTACTGATATGCCTTGCATGAATAATTGTCCCTCCAGAGAGAAACATAGCGTGAGTTACGTGGTGAAAATCTCTCTGCGGTTCAAGGATATAGCATTGAAGGTTACTGCGGCCTCAAAGCTCCCCCAAAGTCAAAACCTCAAAGAAGCGAAAATTCAGAACTCAGACAGCCATATAAATAAATTTGGTCTAAAATCGCTTAGATCAGTGACAAAATTCTGCAGTGACATCCCCTAGCCACGTTGATAAATGACGTAAAATTTCAGTTGTAATTCAATTATGAGGCTTGTCCAAAATCCAAAAATGGCACCCTCACTACGTCTGTAGACTAATCTTTTAATATTACTGAGTATTACTCTTTATCCAGATTGCGCTACCACAAAACGTCTCGGAAGCAAGTTACGGTAGCGGATCCAGTTTCTAGAAAGATGGAATTTCTATCACCTAACCTACAGCTCTTAAAGCTCGGGTTGACAACGTGCGTGTATTACGTGCACTCCAAAGCAGCAAATTTGTTATTATTTAATGACAATGGCCATTCTTTTCGACCTTTTTATCCCGATGATAAGAATAATTTTCGTCTTTTATCTCCACGGAAACTAAAAATTACCGGCGGATGTCTTGGAAACAAAAATGTTTGTTTAAGATGAGTTGCAACATCGCTATCCGGAAAGCTCAATGCATTTGTATTATCATGCAAAAAAATTTTCGAATGTTTGATTCTAAGGTTAAACTAATTCCTCTGTTCTTTATTGTTGTCTCAATGCGAAATCTTGTCTCGAGCTTCTCAGACTTCGAAAACACAGATCATCGCTCCATAAAGGCGCAGTAGAGATCGGTCATAGCTACGGCTTTGCAAATTAGTTCAGTGATGCTTTGGTACTTCAATAAACAACCACTCCCTTAGATTCTATTTTTTACTTCAAAAACAGAGATAAAAATCAGAAACAATCCCATATAAAACGTTTCAAGTAGCATCCTGTAGTAGTAAATTCCTTTACTGAAGGAAATAACTCAACTCAGATATGTTAAGAGGCAAGGATCTGTTTTACATAGGCTGGTCTATCTTTTAAGTCTACCGCCAGGTTTAAAAATTACGCGTTTCTGAAATTTTTTCACGTAAGAACATCTCTTAAAACAAGGAAAGACAAAATTCCATAAATGGTAAATCAAACTTTGGAAATTTTGCCTCAAAAAAAAACTGAAAAACATCTAAACGTTGTCACTGATCGTGGCTATCAAAGCCAGTCATAGCATCGTTTGGAGAAAGGATAAATGAAGGTTTTTGCACCTTTTTTAGTTGCAGTGGGCTACACATTTTTGTGGTGTTACCAAGGACATGTTTGCCTTCCTTTGTTTTCATGTTTTCATCATTGCGAAATGTTTTCAGTAATTAATGCGATGACGTTTCTTGACCTTGTAGATCCACACGCCCTCAAGATATCATCCCACAATATTTTGATACGGCATTTATTGACCGCTCTCGGTTAGCAACCCTGTCATTGTTACTAAGGTGGAAATGGTATAAAAGTGCGATCACGAAGCAGCAGAAGGTCACAATTTCCAGCTGGTTTGAAAAAGCTACACTGAACTAAGAGAGGAAGATGGCCGTTTTCTTGTTCTTGTTGATAACCGTCTGTTCGGTGACCTCTTCCTTCGCCTGTTTCTGTATGCCGGAACATCCTCAAAAACAATTCTGTAACGCTGGTGGATTCGGTAAGTTCATCTTTTAAAGTAATTTATGCTTATTTGGCCTAGTATTCAGCCGGTTCATTTCTACGGGCGAATTCTCTGCTCTGTTAGTTGATAGAAGGACACCGTCGATTCAAATAATCCTAATTTATGCTCGTGGTAACATACATACAGTCTTTTCGGAAATTATTGTAAAACGTTTTAGCTGTGAATGTTTTATAAACATGACAACAGCGATTGTTTGATGCTTTAAATCTATGTCAAGCTCAGTCAAGTCAAGCTAAATCTGACAAGTTCCATTCCAACATTTTGTAAAAAATTCATGCACAGGGATTCACCAGAACATTCTGTTTTTAGATTGAGCCAAAAACAAAAAAAAGTATTTGTTTACTCACAAGAAGAGCTGAAAAATGAAAATGAAATGTACTACATTGTACATTTGATACCGTCTATGTTGCATGAATGGGTTTTTTCCTTTCTTTGTTTTCCTGCGAATGTCGAAAGATTTGTTCGATGATATTGGAACATTTATCTGTGACTGTTTGACATCCACGGATGACCTCTGTTACGAGAAGTTTACATATGCGGCTATAATTACAAGTGTCTTTAGATCCAATTCTAAAACTTCCGTCCGTATATGCCAAAAATAACTTCATGAGGTCGATATACTACATTCCATGAAAGTTACTCTTCTTGGGCGGGGCAGCGCAATGACAAGATCTTGCCCTAAACAGGGTCTCGGTTTGCATGCCTTGGGCAGAATACCTCCACTCACACTTCTTCTAAGTGCTACCCTCGGAACTTTACGCTTGAGTTACGGTAACAAGAAATTGCTATTAGACTCCTTCATGACATTTTGCCTTAACATGAGAGCGTTTCTATCACCTTCGCATATCTTAAAATATTGGTGTTCCAACCAGGGTGAGCTTTAACATTCCCAACAGTTTCAAGCACAGAAACCAGGTAGAGCTTCGGTTGAAGTTGCAACTTTTTTGGAGTGCAAACTTTACTTTCTTACCCTCTCTCACAAGTGTTGTTTTTTGCTTCGTTAGTTTTGCGCGCTAAGGTCGTAGGTCCATCAATAAGAGCTGCCATGCCAAATAGAGGCGGAAATTATCAAGTCTACTGGTTAAGAATTACCTCCATCTTTAAAGGCCATGCAAACGTGCAAAACAAGTCATTGACCAAGCTATACACACCTTCTCGAATCTCGTCGTGTAGAGTGCAGCTCCAGCCTTATACCGAATACCTCCTTTTCGGAAAGATTTTAGACGGAAATCTGTACACCAGCTTCTGCAACTTCCATCAGAAGTGGACCGAGGTGACTCCTGAACAGAGAGCCGGTGTGGAAATGCAGTATAGCCAAGGATGTAAGTGTAAGATCGGATTTTGCTTCGCAAACTGTGGTGGCCTTCTACTTGGCTGTGATGGATTTGACCCCCACTGGATGTGCAGAGCAAAATATCATCGATGCTACAGTTATCGTGATCAAAATGGCGTCGAAAAATGTGGCTGGCGAGGAAGAGGACAAGGACTTTTCCAGCAGTGTGCTCGCCGAGGATACGGCTTCCCATGAGTAACTTAACAGTTTTACAAAACTCTTTTTTTTGATACCTTCCAATTCAAACACGTTCTCTGATCGGACGTGAACGTATCACGTGCCGAGGACCAAAATCACCAACTCGTAAGGGAAACCACAACTTGAACTTTCGACCGGTATGTGATCAGGTCATGCACCGTGAAACCGCGCCAAATGTGTCAGTCCGCCTCAAGAAAATAAATACAGCAAAAGGAAACTAATGTAAAATTTATTTTTAATTGTTAGGTATTGTGACGTGTTGTAATATGTTATATGTAGTGTTTCTCGTTTGAATCCATAGGTAATGGGACGATCATTTAATTAAATATTTTTAGCCTCGAGTTCAGCTCTGTCTTCTTTGTTTTTGATGTGTTCTTCCCTTGCTAAGTGGATCCTTACATTGCGTGTCAGAAGATGTGGAAAGAGAAACTCCACTTCACAATAAATACTTGCTCCAAACGTCTGATCTTCGGAGCCGTTGTCCCCTTAACTCTTTAACTCCCAAAATCTTATTAGTAATTCTCCTTACTGTCTGTCATACAATTCTCATGATGTCAATTTGGAGAATTTGGTATTGGATCAACTAATTATCCCCGAATTTATATTTTTCTTTATTCTCATCACTTCTATGCTTGATATTGTATCGATATTGTAAGGAGAAATTCTCTCTTGGTCACTCATGGGAGTTAAAAGGTTAACGAGGCAATGAAATGCCTTCCAGATGAATAATTCCATGAGAGAAGGATCGAGCTATTTTATTAGATAATATTTATGGCGTTTTCAATGTTATCAGAGATCACTGCATATTATTCAATCGATAAATACATTGGTGATAAAGCTTTTTTCTGTCTAGGACGGGGCTGGGGGGGGGAGAGTGCTAACAGTCTCTGTCAGCTAACTTGTCTTGGTTGATCAAATCTGCCTAATTGCGGTTTTATTTGGTTTGGCAAAGAGAACATGTGTTGATGTTCTTTTGTCTGAAATAACTAAGACGTTTCGCTCAGTAAGTCTAACGTTGCACTGCGAAATGTTTTCTGACATACTGAATATATACTGAGGGCTCTTCTCTGCTGAGTTCTCTACCAGTAGGAGTAAGAAAACGCCAAATTGGAACTGGTCAATTATGGATGCTAAATATATGTATAATAGATAACAGCTTGCGCAGGGAAACTGCGGATGTTTTCAGCATGCATGATCTAATTTCCTTTCATTTGGCTCAAGGAGAGTGGCAAAATAAAACGAATGCGTATTGCTATTTTTGATTAGTTAAATACTCCTAAGAAATATGATCCCTTTCACTCCGACGATCTAAATATCAACTCTTGGCTCAGAGAATTTGGTGTTGTGTCTAAGATTATCATACAGTTGATATTTTTCCTTTTGTCTCATCGCCTTTCTGACTGAAAAAGTATCAATGCTGTAAGGAAGAATTTATTTTGGTTCCTCGCGGGAATGAAAGGGTTAATCTTCCTGGCAGCAGTTGTTGGTAATGAGACCAACAGCGATTACACGAAGTTGAAATCAACAAAGAATTCGCCTTTACAATCCCGTAAAATACTGCAAGGATAGATAAAGGCTACAAATCAGTGGAAGGAAGTCGATGAAGCTCGTCTAATGCTCGCTTGACTTCCTCGATATCTGTCAAAGGAAGAAAAGAAAGAGACATTGTGAAACTCACACATAAAAGTATGACCAAACAGAATATTTAGGTGCAAATTCTCGAAGTTACACAGTTTTTACCACCTTTAAAGTATATTGAGAAAAATTAGAGAAGCAAAGGTCTAGTGAGGAAGGGAAGGGAAGGGGGAGAGGGGGAAGGGGGTGTATACAACAGTTTTATATTCTTAGGGGGGAGGGGGGTGTAGATGACAGTTTTATATCGAAGGAGGAAAGGTCCTAGATTTGCCAATCTAAGTGAGAGGTAACGTCTGTTTGCGAGACTAAACCGCAAAGTGACCATATTGTTGCCTCTGCTTCTGAATAAAATTATATTCCTTTACAGGCTCCCTCTGTATTTCATTAAGTTTCTCAGGTTCCCATTTTTACTCCTGGGCGGAGAAAGGTGATGCGTGAGGATCGTTTCTTCCCCAACAACACCACAAAATGACCTTGAAATGCGACACCCCATTTCTAACAAGTACAAACCTCGATCCCGCTGTTCAGGAGACCTTGCTTCTGCTTCAGGTTCGACATCTGACGGGAGAGCCGTTGACAAGGAACCTTTAAGAAAGAAAAATATTAACGTAAGAGTCAATTCACTGTAAACAGTTTGTAATTTGGAACAGATGCTTGTTATCAACCAGCTAACTTTGTATCTCCGCACTGTTTCGCCTCCTTTCGCCACGTTCGATGTACACGGGTGGAGTTGATGTTTCCGAACATACTGAAAATGAAAATAACAGTAAAGTTCATTTAAGCTTTTAATCTATGATCGCGGAAGAAGATGAGAAAAAATAAAATAAAGGAAAACAAGAAAAGCGAAGAAAATGAGGAAAAAGTCGCTTGTGTAAAACTGGTTGTTGTTGGCTTTAGCCTCGGTCAAATGCGCTATGAGTCTTCGTTTTCGTCTACGCCAAAACGAAGCCAGATATTTCCCACCACAATAACGATATCATTTTGTTTTCACGCGCCCGCCATGATGCGTTTCACACATATTCTGCATAGCAGAAACCTGTGATGAAGACGGCTGGTATGTAGTATATTTTTGCCACTGCTTTTCCAAGCAGCGAAATGATTTCACTATTTATCTCACTGGGAAGATCTGGGAACGAGATGAGCGTGATATGTTAAAATCACATACCAAGACGTTCAAGACAGTTTTCCAACCGCTGACTGGTATGTATCGGTTCAATCTCCTCTCGGGGACTTGCTGCAGTAATAGTTAGCATCGGACCTTTAAGATCAAAAATATTGTTGAAGATTACACACCTACTTTACAGTTAAAATAACAATTATATAGGTATTCATTACTGGCACTACTATGCTGTTTCCATAGCGTGATATCCGCAGGAAGATATGTTTTTGCTCCAATTGCATGTAGTATGTCTGAAAGCTTTTGTTTCGCTTGTTTGTGGTCGTTTGGTGGCCATTTAGATCATTTAATGCTGTACATAAACCCACAACACTTCATCAAGAGTAAAGTCTAGAGCGCGCCATCATGTTGGGTTTTGCATCATACCTTCATTGGAGTCTTTTGAGCTCATAGACGCTGTAGCTATCAGCAGGGGAACCAAAATGCAGGAACCAAAGGTTGCTGGGAAGGCAACGCGCAGATATTCACCGACTGATCTGGTTTACAAGAAATAATCGTTTGCATATTATGATAAAATTTCGGAAATAGACACAAGGAGCAACCCACGAAAACCTTTACATCTCCGGCTTAAAGTTCAGTTCTGAAATGTGGTTGGTGGGTTATGATTTGTAAATAGACATATTCGGACAATTCCACTTGCAAAAAGTTAAAGAAGGCCTTAACCCTTTATTTCCCCAGAGTGATCAAGACATAATTTCTCCTTACAATATCAAGACAATATCAAGTAGACATGTGATGAGAATATATGAAAATATGAATTATTGGTCGATCCAATATTAAATTCTCCAAACTAACTGCGTAAGAATTGTATGGATGATAGTAAGGAAAATTACTAATGAGATCTTAAAAGTGAAAGTTTGTCAAAAAGCACTAATAAAGAACAAATATCGACACTTTAAACAGCAGATTTGTAGCCGTCATGAATTGAAAGGAAGGAAGAAGTGACGCAAAAAGGGAGGAAAATGGCCAAACATGATGGAGAAAACGCCGACAAAATATTTAAGAATTCAAAGAGAAGGGAAAGAATGGAAAAGAACGAAACAAGACGGAATGAGACTGGTGACGAGTTCTTCTTTTCTCTAACTTGAGGACTGCTTCAACACTCTTGTAATTTACGCCCTCTCCACAAATTTTCCAAATTAATTTGGGAAGTTGTTATTTGCTCACTTGTCTTTGTTCCCGGGAAAAGATGTTTGGACTGCGAGCACAATCCCTCCAAGAAGAACCCTCTCCGTGCATTCAAAAATTAGAGAAACGAATGTAACCGCTTCCTGAAAAGAAATAGAATTCGTAGCTAACAGTTTCTTTAGGTCGCCGTTTAAACTTCTTTAAACATCTTTTTTATACCTTACATCTTCTCCACTAAGCCATCCTTTTACTCGTTTGGTGGTTAATCACGTCTTTAGAGAATCTCTTTCAAATTCAGCGACTGTTTCTAAGGGACAGAGGGGGGGGGGGAGGTTTGGAGGATTTCAGTCATGTCACAATGAGATTTACCTTCCCCCCCCCGGGCTCTGTAATATTCTTATGGCCCCCATCATTGGCAGTTAATTGGAAGTCAATTTTCTATATCCCTCCTTTAAACTCCGTTGGTGACGACTGATCCCCTCCCTTCGTCCCCCCTGAAAACCATGTGATCCCCCCCTTCCCAAAGTGATAAAGAGTGAATGATTCTTTACTAACAAATATACAGAAGCAACTCTCTGTGATGTCGAAATTTCTAAAAATTGCTCATCTAACTAATCGAATGAAATATCTTCTTTCGCCTGGAAAACGAAACTGGTATGACTAAACAGAGTAATTTAAGCCTATTAAACTTTTGAGACAAAAAAGAGGTCTCCGTTTTATCTTGATTTAAAAGGGTTCGCTTACCTTGCTATTTCCAGTGATGTGATATTGAAGTGTCGGCGTTACCATGGTGATAAGCGAGGACATTCCAGCAAAAATAATCGTGGGCACATAAACAGAAGAGGTTCTAGATGCTGACTGTAGGAAAAACCATATGCTGGTACCAAATATTGCAAAAGTTGTGCACAAGATTATAACCTGTGAGGAAAAATAGAAAGTAAACGGAACTGAGGTCACGGAACCGCCGATAAAAAAAAAAATGTCTTGCTACGTGTTTTGCCGTCATTCTATTCCAGTATTCATACATGACCAAGATAGTATATCTCCGTTTTTCTTCACATAAAAACACGCAGTGCACACAATTCCTCTACTCGTACTGACAGAGGGCTAACGCTCGAAATATCTGCTAAAGAGACTCTCTATGGCGACCAATTTACATTATCAGCTGAGTTAATAAACTTAATTATCTTGAAATATCTCCACCGACGGAGCCCTGCAGTTTCTTTGGTAGCTCCCCCCCTTTATCCTAGCGATGCCTTTCAATATACGCTGCTCTGCGTAAATTATGAATTAATATGTTCTGATTCGGAATTAAAGTCTCAATTGACCCCGAAGTACACATAACCATCTTCAGCAAGAAAAAGTCCGACTCGATACTATTGATTAGTTGAAAGTCAGAATCATCACGGCACACCCTATAATATGTGAGAACCGGGCTGTGACCGTATGCGAAATGGCATGAGGCTCTCGTCCGGTAGGCTCTCGTCATGGTAGGGCTTTCGCTCAACCCTTTAACTCCCATGAGTGAGCAAGACAGAATTTCTCCTTACAATATCAATACAATATCAAGCAGACGAGTGATGAGAACAAAGAAAGATTTACCCTCGGTGTCATTGTAAGTCTATCTGTGAAGCTTCTACAAGTTAGTTCGGTCGCAATACGACTGATCACAATAATGAGGGGGAAAAAGGCAACAGATTCCTACAACAAAGAAAGGTAGAAGCAAATACATGACTGAAATATATTTTCATTTACATCAGAGGACTTAAAGAGAGATTCCTTGGTTGAATTCCTAATTATTTTTTTTATTCTCCAACGGATAAAACCTGTTGTTTTTCATCAAATGCTGGTGCAGGGTCTATAATTCTCTACTCCTTCACCTGCCAGTAAAGTTGAATCCTTTTCCACTCCCCTATTGTAGCTCGATAGCAAACATAACATCATAATTTCTCACTCTACAGTCGCATGTTTCGTCCTCAATAAGATACATGAAAAAATTACTCAGTTCTGATTGGTTAGGATAAATGCAGTTTTCAGGTAATTCAATGCAGAAGGGGGTTAATTCGGTGCAAAGAAGTAACAAACCAGACTGAACAATTCCTTGAACTGTTTAGCTTGACTTTGAACTTTTTTGCACCTTGAAGATGTGAAAATATCATTGTATATTATTGTTTTGATCGTGCGCGGTTGTTTTGACCGAACGCGCAATGTCACTTGTTGGGTTTGAATAAATTATTTTTGCATTTGATGCGCGCGCTTTGCTTCTGCATAATTATGATAATATCTCGTATTTCTTCATGTATATTATTAATACGTAATCACATAATTTTTTCCTGTAATTTGGAATAAATAAGCACGAGTAAATTTTTTCAAAGACCACAAATTTACTCGTGCTTATTTATTCCAAATTGCACTCGAAGTCATGTGATTACTTATACAAATATCTTCATTTTGTAGAATAATGCAGCAAATGACGATGTAATGTGCGTTTAAATTGAAGAACTTTTCTACTGAGTTTCGTTAAGACAAAATTACAACAGCCATTCAGAGAAAAGGAAGATACCCTGTGGGGCGGATGAGAACTCAAAGTAAAGACAACCAAACTGTCTAAAGCGCTTTAAAAACCCGGGCGACCAATGCAAGTCGTGATTGGTGTTAGTTTTGCATCCAATTGGATAAATTACGAGAGAGGCACGAGTTTCCTGGACCGATTACAAAACGAAATAACGTAAAACTAATCAAAGCAATGCCAGATCACTTTCAATACAATTGAAAATTGTTCTATGGCCTTTACAACATAACTGTTACGACACTTTTTGCTTACTTTTCGTAAGTTTAGCGTTTCGACGACATACAGCGGAAGGTATGACTGAACGATCCGAAATGTGATGTTGGAAAAAACGACGATACAACCAACCTATAATGAAGGAAAGAAGGAAAACGATAATCGAATAGTTTATGGAATAAAGGAAATCTAATGAAAGAAAAAACACCGTGTATTGACGTGTTTGATCAAGAAGGCTAACGAAATGTTAACCACGTCCTTCCGTATATTATTAGTAAGTGAAAGAAGTGAATAAAACCTTTATTTAAATGCGATAAAGATAAAATTACAAAGCTTGTGTGCTCGTGTGAATACGTATAAAAGTTGAAATAAAACAAATAATCAGGATAAAATTACATGTAGCATTTTAAGCAAAGTTGAGTATATTAAAGCTAAAATGAAGATAGAATTTGGAAACTGGTATTTCAACCTCGTTAATCATGTCTTCTGAGATCAAAAATTTTTGTGTCTGAGACACTTTAGTAGATTAATTTCTACCACAGAATTAATGGATCCAGATGATAGAGAATTCATTCTTTAAATTGACTAGATATTTCATGAGGGAAAGTGGTATAAACGATAACGCTTCTGGTGAACTGTAAAGTGAAATCTCAGATTTTTACTTACCTTATATAACGAAGGTTCTTTCAGCCATTCGAACCAAGTTAATTTTGGCCCCTCTCTTATTCCCGTCGGTTCGTGGTTCACTATCGTTGTTCGAGAAGTTACGTCTGCAGTTGATCTCCCACAGTTTTTCTCTACATTAAAAAACGAAAACGAATCAAAAAAACAAACAAATAAGGAAACTAATGAGTATATGGAGTTACAATGGTGCAATTAAACAGTTATTATTACCCAATGCTCTTTGCGCACAAAAAAATTTTGTGCAACTCTCACTAAGAATGAAAGTTCGCAAAAATTCTTTCAGTGTAAAACTCAGCGTCAAAAATATTATTGGTGTAATCACGTTTACATGAATCTTCCGTAAAATTACTAGCCCCCTTTCCAAAATGTATTGACTGTTCGGCACTGGATGAGATTTTCATAGAGTCTTTCGTAAACCACGAATATTTAAAGGCTATATTTGGTAAACTATGAAATTTTAGGGGGAGGGGGAGTGGCAAAGGTTAGCCTCCCACTCAGAGGGAATAACAATATAATTGGTATGTCCAGGTGTGTGCGTTGAGGGCCTGTAAACCGGTACATTCTGTGCTCCAGACCCCCAGCGAGAGTTTCAGTAGGTAAAGTGCAAGTACCTTCATCAAGCTTTCTTTCATCTGTCTGAGGTCTGGGCTCTAGCACCGTTAAATGGAAAGCGAAGACGAATAGAAATCCAACTGGAAGTAGAATGATCGCAAAACGCTAAAGAATAAAATGATCATGATTCATATCAAAAAAAGTTTTCTTGAAGCCACTTAGTGAATAAAATTCTTATCATCCTGTAAATCTCATAACCTCATAACGTTTCACTGATAAAGCCTTAATCTAAATTCTACTTTAGTTTTAAGGGTAATACTTACCGTAAATTGCTCGCTAACATTTGAATTCATTTTACTTTCCGTACTCTCTTGAAGCAGAATCCACAGTAAGATATAGAGACACACCTTGCAAACGCGGACAATGGATCTATGAAAATGCAATTTAAATCCATGACAGTCTAAATGAAGTGGGTTTACAGGAATTTGAAACGGGAAAGTCCCTTCAACGCTACGCCAGATAAAGTTTAAAAAAGCGGGCTCTCTCTCAAAATGCAATTAAAGTATTCCGTCCACACTAGAAAGTATATGTTATGTTCTTTGTCCACACTACAACGATCACTGGTGGCAGAAACACCTAGATTCATCACAGAGGGAGTGCATAATAGAGGCCCTATTTTCCCGCCCCAAGATTCACCAAGCAGTCACATCATCGTTTTCAAAAACCTCCGTTTTTCGATGACAACTTCTCGTTTTTAGCATAGACAAGCGGCTTGAATGGAACATGCGCAAAAAAGATCTCTTCGCATGGAAAACTGTTGAAGTTTGTCCGACTTTGTAAAATAGTTCATAAAGAATAAGTCTTTGAGATGTCACCGGGTGACATCCATGAGCTCCAGCTGTTTATTGAAACTGTGTCAATTATGGGATGCTGAATGATCAGTAATCACATTTTTCAAAACAAAGCTCTTAGATTTTTCCGAGAAAAAAATATTAGGAAAGCTAGACAAGAATGTTTTGGCATGCCACCATAGGAATTACAATACTTTACTTGATTCATGAGGCTTTAAGATGGATAAGATTTGAATTTGTCTCTCAAATTAGGGCCGATGAAAAGTAGTATGTATAATTTCAACAATGCGTGCTGTTTGAGATGCTTATTATGAAAAATTATGTTCATAAACCCGAGAATTTGTCACCAACATACCTTGACGCTTCGGTATCTTTGCCGTTTTCCTCTCGTATTTCAGTCATAAGTGAATAGTAACTGTCTTCAGCAAGTGGCCAAGAGATCGAAAATAAAGCCACAGATAGCAGATAGTAAGCCCCTAACGTAACATGCGAGCTATTATTTTCACAAAACAAGCACGGTATAAAGATGAAAGGCCACGAGAACAACACACCGGCTGATCCAATAATATGCCATGCTTTTCGTTTTCCATACGGGGAAAAATACTTCCATAAGCGTTTCTCGCGGCTCAAAGTAATCAAAAGCGAACTTCCTGCCATTAGTGTTTGAGAAATGAAGAAAATGATGCCAACGCTGACGGCGGACAAACCAGCAACGTGTTGAAAATAGAGCAATGCATAGCTATACCACACGCTCGACGTAAGGTTATTCAGTATATGACCTGTCTTACAGGCGATACGGTTTCTGATAGACCCTGAATCGGCATCAGCGCATGGATAAGTTTCCTCAATGATGTCATCTGCGCCATTGTTACTCGACGCAACTGTAATATCACGAGAGCTTTCCATGCTTCATAGTGCCAGGTTTTTTCGGCTTTATGACGGCAAAAATTATCAGATTTATAGCCTCCGTTTTACAGAACAGAATTGATTATGTGCTCCAGCATTCAACAGGAAATGAAAATCATTTTATCTTTGTGGCTCGGCTGTTGAAAAACTGTTCATAATATCTTGGTGGGATCACAACAGCTATCAGTCCTCCATTTACTGACGTAGGTTGGAGTCGCCAAGGGAAGTCCAAGAATAGTTTCTCGAATTTCGTAGCGGGATCTCAAGAATATAATCAGTACATTGGCTTAGCTATGACCAACACTTGTTAAGATTTTGTTGTTGGACGAAAACACGTTTGTGAGAAAGTCTCATGTCTTTGCGATTGGAAACCGCACTAGACAGAAAAAAAATACCAAATCAATTTTCTACCTCTGTTTGCGAGTGGTTAGAAAACTTCTCATTCAATTTGCTCCAAGAGTTTTGCGGTATATGAAATATTTATTTTGCAGACGCTAATTAAGTTATTTTCGATGAGTTGTTTTGGTAAATTGTATTTCTTTTTTACAATACTATTCAAACTTCCACTAGTTTCATTACAAATTGATTTTTTTTCTCTCAGTTTTGGGCATTTTGTATATTAAGTTCTATGAAAAATTTCTTAGAATGCTAGAATTTCAGCATATTTATCCACGTCAATCATGTAAACTTTAAAAATATACGAAACGAAGCGAAGCCAGTCAGTTGGAGGGACTGATTGTTTTGATTTACAAGTCGATTTGCAGCAGTGTTTACGAAGCAAAATGAAAAGCGAAAATGAGAGAAAAAAGGTAAAATTGATCAGGATGTAACCGTAGCTTACCATAAATTTTTTCTGAATGTTTTTCTGTTTAACAATCCCGTTAAATAAAAAAATTACTACCTTTGCATATTTGGAATCATAATTCTATTTAAGTTTACTAACAAACTTTAATTTGGTTAATATTTCCGTTCCAAAAAGTTCGATTCAATCGTTAGTTTTAGTCATCGGTGTCTAAGTTTCTCGGGCCAGCGAAGGAAATTTTCTTAAATCACCTTCTATGATGTTTTTTATTTCTTTCAATACTCGCTTTGAAAATGAATAATTGCTCTTGTTTCGCATTCATTAAAAAGTATTTTAACATGCATACGCGGCTTTGAGAATAAATGGTTAATTTGAATTCAAATACGCTGAAAAGAAGTTTACAATTTTCCATGAAGCATTCCAACAAATTTTCAAGTTAGCTTGTTAAAATTAGAGCTCTTTCTCTTCAAAGCACAAAGCGTTCAAATAATTATAAATAATCGAGTTTTTCATCGTCGAGGTCCTTTTTCAAAGAACTGCAAAAATTCATAAGTGGTTGAGTTTGAAACTGTTCAGCTTTCTTGGGTCAAAATGTTACTGAGATAGCTCAAGTATAATGAAGTTTTTCCAAAGATTCGTTGTGTAACTGAGTTCAAATAGTTTAAAAAAAATTCGTCATTTCAACTTGCCAAAATATCACGACATGTCGCATTTGTATTTGTTTCCTCAAATATACTAATTGTTATCAAAATTACATTTATCTAGTTTCGTTCTGTTTCATATTTGTTCCTCAGTCGGAATAAATATCTCTTGCTATGTGTAACGTTTTTAAAAGTATGTAGTACCCCCATTGATCTATTAATCCACCATTTTGATTAATTGTCTGTTTTTGAAAGAGACTTGTGATCATCGTGTCATTGTAATGGCTAAAATTGCTTACTCTTGCCGAACATTATATAAGATATAACTTAAGAAGCTCTTGGTGGTCTTTCAAGGCAATATAACCGCATTAAAATATAAAGTAAATAAGGAAGCGAACTTTTGTAATAATTTCTTTGATGAGCGTAAGCACACTAAAATAAATTTGGAAGAAAATGCATATAAAGTTCTAAAATACGCAGACAGAAAAATTATACCGTTAGTTAATTATGCTCATGCGCAACAGTTTTGTGGCTTTCGCTCGCTGTCGAGCTTTACTTGACTTCTCTCGTATCATTTTCGAATGAACCATTATGCCAGTTAACGTTACAATTGATCGAGTTTGCTTTCCAGTTGTTACTCTCTTAGTGGTGACGATGATTATTGAAGAAATACCGATACGTGGCTTTACCAAAAAAAAAAGTCAAAACCAGTAAAACGGGGATTATTTCACAGGCCGACCGGTACTCAGTTGTTTTCTGTCACACTCCATAGTTTTTTTTTTCAACATTAACCGAAAGGATTCCGTGAGCAGGCTATACAATTATCTACTCTCTTGTACTTTTAAGTGGGTAAAAACTTATAGCATTTCTCTAAACTTGTAAGTATGTATGGCGCCTGTAGAGTAACGAGAAGCCCTCTAATAAGCCAATTAAATGATGTGGTCGCTAATCGTGATGACGTCACGGTGTCGCCACGAAAAGAAACATGGTAATTTCGTGAGAATCATTATTAGATTATTTCGAACTTTCCTTAGATTTCGAAAGAAAAGTGATGTCGTTTGTTTTGTTAGTTCTAGCTCTTCTTCATGTATTTATTCGATTTCAAGCCATCAAAAGATCGTTGCCTTGACAATCGACGAAGACCCCTGCACAAATTGAAGTTAAAAGGGTTGATTTAATGATTCAAATAAAATTTTTTTTGAAGGTTTTCTTAAGTAGTTTGGAAGAGCCAGTGAATTATCTACTGAAAATTGTGTAACTCGTTTCAAATGTTTCGCTTATCGGAGGAAAGAATAACTTTTTGAAATTAAATTATGCAAAATGTATAGAATTTTCAAGAGTTCAAAAGTTGCCATTTTTGAAATTGAGTCAGCATACAAAAATACACGAATCAAATCAGAGAAAACAAAAAGGAATGAAACGCAACTTAGCACAGCAACCAAGTTCACTAACTGAGGACCGGGAAATGGAATCGATTTCACTTTTCATACAAACTAAATGGCAAAAAGATACATAAATACAAATATTGTTGTTTGCTTTGTTTTCGATTGGAAGTTGCTTTTAAGCTGCCACTCTCTAATGGCGACATTAATGTTTGGAAAAATACCGATTCGTTGATTTTCTTCGAAAGAATTTAACACACGCTACACAAGAGCGCCTCATTCCACCGTAAAGGGTTTTATTCACAGGCCAGGCGACAAGCCTGCATGTGATTTGCATCACGCTCAAATTAAGGCTTTTTACTGATATTAACCAAAATGGTTGCGCAAGTAGGCAGTTAAATGATAAGTTTCTATGTCGTTTTTATTTTAATGAAAATGTCTACTTTTAAAAATGAACGCATTAGCGTAGGTGGAACCTGAAGAATAATATGTAGTACTGGCACGTCCGAGGTCTGCTCCTCAATCACCCAAATTAATATGATTCATTAGCCATCCTTAATGACGCCACGGTCTTGTAGCAAAAATAAAACACCGAATTTTTGGAGGGGACTGCAGTTGCTTTGTAGTCTTTCTTAAACTAAAAATAAAGATTTTAGTTAGTTGTTTAGATCTGGTTTGCTAGTGTTCACTGAGTTGATCAGTTCTCGATCAGTCATAAACAGATCGTTGTCTAGGCAACAAAGAACGTTGTTAGAACTGGAGCTAAACGGACGACTTAAGTGATTCAAAATTAGTTTTCCTTTCTGTAAGTTGTTTTGAAGGACAAATGCAAGAATTATAAAATCAATCATGTATATTGTTTCAGAAGTATAATTTTCATAGATCACGAAAAAGTGATGTTTATATAGTAAAAAAAATTTTGAGCAACTTGTAGTTAGCCCTACTAAACCATAGCTTGCCGACTAAATGCGAAGAAATTTATAACAAATAACATGCAACTCAGCACAGTAACCAAGTTTCACAATCGACTTCCTTGGTACAAAAAAGAAAGAAGAAATGGATAAATACTTGAAAGTAATTATCTTCATTAAAAACACTTACATGAGAAAGTAAACACTAAAAACAAGCAATAGAGACCAGTATCCTTTATCAAATTTCATATCTTAAATTGCCTAAATGACCAATACTGGGGCATTACGATTCATCATTTGAGTCTTGCAGGCAAGTTCTCCAGAACAAGTCAGGTAAGTTAATCTCAAGACAAGCTCATCGTTCAAGTCTCGCAGAACTTGCTAAGCTGATATTACAAGAAACAGTGGTTTCTTTTCCTCTTGTTCCATTTTTTCCATCAGCTTCTCGCGCAGTTCACAATTCCGTCAAACAAAGAAAACTGTGCTCTTTTTCCATAGAAAAAGACGGCAGAAATGGTTTCCATTCTCTCTTATGCGACATTGATTTTGTGCACTGTGGCCCTTAGCGAGTCGTGCAGTTGCGCTAAGACAACTCACATGGGGATTTTATGCAGAGATGACTTCGGTGAGTTGCTACCTCAATAATTCAAAAAGTTTTGATTTCCAATTCACTTAGTCAATAATTTCTGCTTTTATTCCAGGTAACCTGTCCTTTTTCTCTTAAACTCTAAGAAGTAATCAAGATATAACTTCTCCCTATTATATACATTCGTTCCCTGGGAAATGGGTAACGAGAATACTCAAACTGATCACGTACAAGTTGTCATCGTGATCTTATACCAAATTCTCGTATCTAATTTACAATGAAATGTATACCAACGAGAGAGGAGAAGTAACAATCAGTTCCTTCCAACCACGCCCTTGTCTCCTGAACATGCGGCAAACCACCGAAACTTCGTGCATTACGACATAACGAGACTAGGTTCGATATTTTTGAACCGCTGGCCAGAAAAAAAGTAGCGGAACTATATCGAGGCTTGTGGTAAACTTTCCGCTTAAAATGAAATAGAAATGAAATGGTTTTTCTTTTAAAGTCTGACTTTTTCTAGTTGCGATAAAAGACTCAGTAGAAAGGAAGTTTAATAATATGAGTTTGTCGTTACGCACAGTTTCTTCTGGCAGTGGCAATTTACGAGCCGGCCTTGACTTCGTGAACCGTCAAATCGAGGACTGATCGTGTTAAGAGGTAATCATGACATTTCAAGTCGAAGGCAAGAGAAAAGTGCAGGATCACGCAAAGGTTAAAAAAAGGTCCGCACTGCGTACGTGTGTCTAATCCAAATTAAAATGAATGTATTATCACAAAAAAACATGCTAACAGTCGTACTGCACTCTCAGTCTATTTGGTAGGTATGTTCAATATATATCAATGGGTGTATTGGTGTACCAAAGCGCGGTATTTTTCAGGGAATTGTTTGGATAAACTATGTGATGCAAATTACGCAAGTCGATCCTCGAGAGAGTTTCTCAACTTAACAGATCATGACTGCCGAAGGAAAAAATTGTGCAAATATTAACGCAATAGCAGATACAACTAAACTTGAAATAAGTTTTTGGAAACATGGGAACAGAAAAAAAGGAAAAATTTAACACGAAGATTTCCGTAAAATATTTAATTCTGTCAAACATAGATAGGTACAATTTGGGTACAATTCGCGACGAAATTCCGATCATTTTGAGGCGTTACTATTTTAAACTTACAAAATAAAATGGAGACCAAACGAACACAAAGAATCGTAAATTAAAACGTATGGAAAACACAAATTACGCAATGTTTTTAGCAGCTGAAGGGTAGATACTCGTGCAAGAAGTAAAGTCGTGAAATCTGTTAACACATACACTGGTAGTCTAGCTCTGACTGTGTGTCGATTAAAGGAAAAGTGAAAGTGCACAAAGTACAAAAGGTAAATTATAAAGGTGAAATGTGTGGTGCGTATGATCGGAAATGTATTCAGTATCAATAACTTATAAAATACTGGTGTACTCTCCGACGCCTCGCCTCGCTTCTTCAGGCCCTCCTCAAGATACGACAATCTAAAAAACGCATGTTTTTTCTACGACGATAAGTTTTCTCGAAACGTTTGCTCTTTCGAATTCAATCGGTCCCGAATATTTCTCTGTCACAAGGAGTTACGCTCACCAAATAGGGATTTCCGACAGATCTTACGACAAAATAGCCAAGTGGTTCCGCCCAATCACTGGATGCGCATTCTTGTCATATTATGTTACGCGATGATCGCTCACTTCATTTAACCTGTCACTTACGGTAACTTCACAGAAACCATAACACCAATACGTCATTTGTTGTCTTACATGAGGCACCTACTGAATCTCCTACCGCTCATGCAAGGTGTCTAGCTGCTACGCACTAAACAAAAAAAACGCTCCTAGAGGAAAAAAGTAATACAGATGGTGAATTTATCGGTATATCATTTAAAGGATGATTCTGCAAAATGTTTTGGGAGACCAAACGAAGGCTATCATCATAATTCAGCTGTCATTTTGCCGTGCATTGATATCGTTGAATGTATAGGAAATTGTTATTGAGACAAATCAGCATTTTTAACACGGAGCTTTTGTCTTCACTTAACAGCCATCAGAGCTAAGGTTACTCAAGTCACAGATTTGGGGAGCCTGAAAATCTATACACTCGACATAAAAAATATTTTCAAAGAAGGTGCCCAGTTCTATAAAGTGACGCCTACGAAGGCGACCATTCAAGGGCCTGTCCGGAGTGGTACAGCTTGGACAAGGACAGATGGTTGTGGAATGGACCTTCAACTGGGTAATGTTTACCTCTTAACGGGTAAAATAGAAAAAAACGAAGATGCAGACCTTCACATTACCCGATGTGGCTGGAATGTGGAATTTCAAAATGTAGGCAAGAACAAACAGAAAACACTCGAAAATTATTACAAGAAAGAACAGGAAAAATGTGTGAATGAGCAAAAGTGAAATATGCTTCGCTCTAGAATTGTTAATCAATATTTTATCAAGGCAAAAGGCGGTAGAAATAAAGAATAATTATTAATCAGTGAGATTTTGTGTTTAGTTCATTTTCTCTGGAGTAAGTTGGACATAGCACCGCATATAGAATCGCAAATGATGTAGATAATTTTGGATCCTTCTTACCGATGGCGATTGAGGAATTCCTAAAACAAACTGGCTCCTTCACAGCCCCGCACCAACTTTTTAAAAAGTAGAGTCTGATTTTGAATGAAATCATAGGTCAAATACAAACGCTACATACTCGTCTCACTAAAATGAGTTAATTTTTCAGGCCAAGGTAATAATTGAGGATTTAGTTTATATCGCATGAAAATGTTCATTACGCATGCCAAAAGCATTATAAAGGTAGATTGGATGCTCATACGCTTCGAAAACTATTATTATTCCTCACACAAACCAGAGAGGTACCTTGAGCTAACATACCATTCAGGCTTTTGGTCCCAGCCATAGCAATAGCACGTACCCCATCCTGAATGTACCCAGGACGAGAAAGCAACGCAGCCAGGCCAGCTGTTGAAGCTAGGCCCTCCCTCTCTCTCCTGCACACAGATCTGTTCGCATCTATTTCTACGATCTCTTTTTCTTACTTCCTCGTTCGGATTATTTGGCACAGAACCTACTTACTCCCATTTGTTACCGCTGGCCGTTCTATCGTTCTCAGTGTGGAGGACTCGAGCATCGCGCGCGCTATATGGTGCTGGGGAACCACTCTGCCCTGGATGAGGGAAATTCGGTAACATAATAAATATCTCTGGTTTGTGTTCAACCACCACACTGTGAGCAGTGCAGTGGGTTCGGACTTAGTCTCCTTGGTTGGTGAAAGTGTTGCTTGACATCCTTAAGAACCGCTGCAAAGGGGACTAGGTAAGAATCAGGTGGCTAAGCTTTCCGCTCCATGCTTAACCCTTCCCTACTGCCATTGAAGACTGGTAATGACTTGATGGAGGGAAAACAATAGAAATTCAAGCGCGATTGAAATCAAATTTGCAAGAACTTAAACGTTTATGGAAAAAAATCTTGTGCCGTTACCACTGGTAACATACAAAGGAACAAATAATCAGTGTGCTATAAAAAAGGGTTTTAAAAGATCTTACCAACAGCAGCGATAGATAACAGTAGAAGAGGCACAAGAATAAGGCTGACCATGTTTCACGTCGCTCAAGTGGTGCCCTGTGAAAAAACCAATGACTAATTTAGCAATCAGTTAAAGAATGCTTCATTTGAATTAGAACATGGTTGAATTTCCTGCGAAATAAGATCCTCTATGTACTTGAACCATGAGAATCCAAAAATATTTAAAGGATGCACTTCAAAAAATAGTTCACTGATAAATCTCAAAAAGTATATGGGATTGCTTGAGTTGAAGACATATTAAAGAACCTATAGAGTGACGGACACTTTAGGACGATTTTCGCCTTTTGATAATGACACGTTCTGCAGCCTTTTTTTTCGAAGGAATCTTCTTTCGGGGAAAAATTGAATTAAATAATTGATAAATATTTAGTTTCCTTTGTTTGATATTCAGATTTTCAGGCGGTACAAATAGAAATGTTTAGCATACAATTAAAAAAAATCAGCCATTTATGAAAAGCAACACACTCCTTCTTTCAGTTTTACCTCTTCTCAATTTTTAGGTTCCAAGAAAATGATAAAACATGTTACTTAAGTAGATTTAAAGGCCCTTACTTTAAATTCCCTGAGCTCTGAACTGAAGGTGCTTAACCTCGGATTTAATGTTCTGTCACAAGGACAAACCTGTATGTAAAGTAGTACGTTGTAAATTATGCAGGTTAATTGGCACACGCTTGACATACTTGTAACACCTGTAACGGGGATTAGGTGTTTTGACTGTTCTACATAATTTATACAATCAGACCTTTCCGCAACGATCACCTTCCTTGAGGAGAGGGAAAAGTGTCTATTGTGGAGAGCTGGTAGTTTTGGGGAGGTGACATTTCATTGTATAATGCCCTGGACTTAATCAACCTATATACAACTAGAAAACAGATACTTCTGAATATCATATCACCGGCTTTTGTGGTGAAAGAGAAGATCATTATAAAAATCTCCAAATATCTATTGTTTGAGACAGCTCATCATCGATGCTTAACAACTTTTTCTAACTATTTGAACTTAAACTATAACCCTGATCAGCTGTTTCCCGGAACTGGCCTTAAAAATGGTAAATGGAGTTTGTCCCTAGGCTTTCTCCTTCATACTTGAATTTTACTGTGTCCGAAATTTACTCGTTTGCTTTCTCTAGGGGAATGGTTCTCAACAGCATGAAGTGCAAAGAAATGTGCATTACGTTTTTACAGTATTGCCCGTTTTCGCCACCCCCTTTAGCTGTTGGTAATTCTATAATAGAAAAGGTTTCCTGTTACAAGTTGTTGGGGGTACACTTATCAGATAACTTAACGTGGAACGAGCATGTATTTCATATTGTAAAGAAAGGAAACAAGAGGTTACATGCAATACGTGCTCTTAAGAAGTGTGGTTTAACTGATGGGCAGCTTATCTAGGTCTACTGTAGCATCATCAGATCTGTCTTGGAGTATGCAAGTCCTGTATGGGCTGGCCTCACGCAGTACTTGAGTGATCAAATTGAGTCGGTTCAAAAGAGGGCTCTAAAAATCATTTTCCCGTTTATAAGTTATGAGGACGCGCTTAAGAAGTCAGGGTTAATTAATCTATGCCAGAGGAGGGAGGACGCGTGCGTCATTTTCCTTAAGCGGAGTTACTACTTTCTGACCTACTACGAAATGTAGTACCGCGATGTCAATTTTCAACTTCAGCATATCAAGTGTGAACAGGGTTGAGTTCCAAATGAACACTTTAACGATTTGCCGTCGAGGTTTCCGTTCATAGAAGGCGCAAATGTTGGTGTTTTCACGTTCAGTTGTTGTTTTGCAGAGGATAAATAAGAAATGTACAAAATTATAAAACGCACGTGCGGAGCTATTGTTCCACCCATCAGATCTTTAATTTGGCCACCTCCTCATTGTCGTCTTGGTTTGCTTAAGGTCCCTTTGCCTACATCACTCGAAACTGATTAAATTTAATCAATGGGTGAAGACAAACCCATGCGAAGACAGTTAAAAATAGAATGTACTTCAGCAAAGAAATGAGGTTCTAGTGATAAGATAAACAGAGTGGTGTCATGCACGAAAAAAGGGGCTTTAATGAGCATCGATCCCGATGAGGTGGGAAATATGAAATGAGTTCAACAAAGTTTTACTCTATTTGCCTTCATGTGAGAGAAATGGGAAGCAGCAACTGGTTAAATATGGTCATGAATAGGTGTCATGCCGGAAAAATAAATAAATGCTTAAAAGGAAAGTACTCTCTTTAAAAAACGGTAAATGAGAAAGTAAACGCATCATCGACAGCCAATAGGAAGGCGCATATTCCAGCGCATTTGATAAGGCCTACTGTGACTTGGTTTTATTACTGTAATGAATATATATTTTCAGTTGGAATTTCGCGAATGGCTGGATGTAATTATCGTCTCTTGCGGCACCCCTTTCAACTTCAGCATAACGCATGTGAGTGCGTCGAGTTCTTTAAAACTTTAAATTGCTTGCCGTCGAGGATTCTGATCTCAGACCATGTAATTTTTGCTGATTTTGCTGGGGACGGTTAAGAAATGTACAAAGTCTTAAAACGCACGCGCTAATTGCTGTTCTACTCATTAGCTCTTTTGCTTGGCCGCGTCCTCATTTCCTTGGCAGTTTTAATTTTCTTGAGGTCCTTATTGTCTACATTACTTGGAACTGACTAAATTTAATAAAGCAGTGAAGATAAACCCATGCAAAGACAATTAAAAGTAGAATGCACCTCAGTAGAAAAACGAGGTTAAACTAATAAGAGAAACAGAGAGAGGTCACGGCAAAAGGGCCATAGATTTCAATATGACAATTTCTAAGGAAGATGATCCCTTATGGACGTGGGGCCTTCAGTGGGAGGAATGAGAAATGGCAACTGCAAAATATGAATGAGTCTCATGCTAGAAGAAAACAATAATTACTTAAAAGGATATTATTTTCTTAAAAAAAAAAGCGGTAATTGAAAAAGTAAACGTATCATTGACAGCCAGTAGGGAGCCGCATATTTCAGAAAATTTCATCAGGTCTACTGTGATCTGGTTTATTACTGCACCTAACATACACCCCTGCCATCAGTTGAGTCAGGCCGCCAGATCGATCAGAACACATCAGGTAGGTTCACCTTGAAAACAAGCTTAGCTTTGAGTTTGATTTATTGTAATTTGATCTAAAAAGGAAAATTAGATAATCTACATATCTATTCTAGGCGATATAACCGACTTAAAATAGAAAGTAAATAAGGAAGCGAATTTTTGTAATAATTTCTTTGATGAGTGTAAGCACACTAAAATAAATTTGGAAGAAAATACATATAAAGATCTAAAATGCGCGGACAGAAAAATTATACCGTTAATTAATTATGCTCTTGCGCAACAATTTTCGCTTTCGCTCTCGTATCATTTGCGAATGAACCATTATGCCAGTTGACCGTACAATTGATCAAGTTTGTTTTCCAGTTGTTACTCTCTCAGTGGTGACAATGATTATTGAAGAAATACCGATACCGTGAGCATGCTATACAATAATCTACTCTCTTGTACTTTTAAGTAGGTAAAAACTTATAGCATTTCTCTAAACTTATAAGTGTGTATGGCGCCTGTAGAGTAACGAGAAGCCCTCTAATAAGCCAATTAAACGATGCGGTCGCTAATCGTGATGACGTCACGGTGTCGTCATGAAAAGAAACACGGTAGAAAAAGGTTTCCTTAAGTAGTTTGGAAGAGCCAGTGAATTATCTACTGAAAATTGTGTAACTCGTTTCAAATGTTTCGCTTATCGGAGAAAAGAAAAACTTTATTTGAAATTATATTATGCAAAATTTACAGAATTTTCAAGAGTTCAAAAGTTGCCATTTTTGAAATTGAGTTAGTATACAAAAATACACGAATCAAATCAGAGAAAAAAAAGGAATGAAACGCAACTTAGCACAGCAACCAAGTTCACTAACTGAGGACCGGGAAATGGAATCGATTTCACTTTTCATACAAGCTAAATGGCAGAAAGATACATAAATACAAATATTGTTGTTTGCTTTGTTTTCGATTGGAATTTGCTTTTAAGCTGCCACTCTCTAATGGCGACACCAATGTTTGGAAAAATACCGATTCGTGGGTTTTCTTCGAAATAATTTAACACACGCTACAAAAGGGGAGTTTTTCATTCCACCGTAAAGAGTTTTCTTCACAGGCCATGCGACAAGTCTGCATGTGATTTGCATCACGCTCAAATTAAGGTTTTTTATTGATATTAACCGAAATGGTTGCGCGAGTAGACAGTTAAATGATAAGTTTCTATGTCGTTTTAATTAAAATGAAAACGTCTACTTTTAAAAATGAACGCATCAGCGTGGGTGGAACCTGAAGAATAATGTGTAGTACCGGCCCCCCGAGGTCTGCTCCTTTATCACCCAAATTAACATGATTCAATAGCCATCCGGCTTAGTAACGCCACAGTCTTGTAGCAAAAGTTAAACACCGAATTTTTTGGAGGGGACTGTAGTGGATTTGTAGTCTTTCTTGGAGGGGACTGCAGTGGATTTGTAGTCTTTCTTAAACTAAAAATAAAGGTTTAAGTTAGTTGTTTAGATCTGCTTTGCTCGTGTTCACTGAGCTGATCAGTTCTCGATCAGTCATAAACAGATCGTTGTCTAGACAACAAAGAACGTTGTTAGAAGTGGAGCTAAACGGATGACTTAAGTGATTCACAATTTGTTTTCCTTTCCGTGAGTTGTTTTGAAGGACAAATGCAAGAATTATAAAATCAATCATGTATATTGTTTCAGAAGTATAATTTTCATAGATCACGAAAAAGAGATGTTTATATAGTAAAAAAAATATTTTGGAGCAACTTGTAGTTAGTCCTACTAAACCATAGCTTGCCGACTAAATGCGGATAATTCTATAACAAATGACATGCAACTCAGCACAGTAACCAAGTTTCACAATCGACTTCCTCGATACAAAAAAGAAAGAAGAAATGGATAAATACTTGAAAGTAATTATCTTCATTAAAAACACTTAAATGAGAAAGTAAACACTAAAAACAAGCAATAGAGACCAGTATCCTTTATCAAATTTCATATTTTAAATTGACTAAATGACCAATACTGGGGCATTACGATTCATCATTTGAGTCTTGCAGGCAAGTTCTCCAGAACAAGTCAGGTAAGTTAACCTCAATTGGGTAATTTTTACATCTTAACGGGTAAAATAGAGAAAAACGAAGATGCAGACCTTCACATTAATTCATGTGGCTGGAATGTGAAATATGAATATGTAACCAAGAGAGAGGAGTACAAACTCCAAAAATTTTACAAGGAAAAGCTGCACATTTGTGGTGAATAAGCAAAAATGAAATATGCTTCGCTCTAGAATTGTCAATCAATATTTTATCAAGGCAACAGGCGATAAGAATGAAGAATAATTATTAATCAGTGAGATTTTGCGTTCTGTTCATTTCTCTCTGGAGTAAGTTGGACATAGCACCGCATATGGAATAACAAATGATGTAGATTATTTTGGATCCTTCCTACCGATGGCCATTGAGGAATTTCCACAACAAGCTGGCTCCTTCACAGCCCCGCACCAACTTTTTAAAAAAGTAGAGTCCGATTTTGACTGTACTAATATAATGAAATCAAAGGTCAAATACAAACGCTACATTCTCGTCTCACTAAAATGAGTTTATTTTTCAGGCCAAGGTAATAATTGAGGATTTATTTTAAATCACATAAAAATGTTCATTACGTGTGCCAAAAGGCGCTTCGACAACTGTCATGATTATTCCTCACACCAACCAGAGAGGTACCTTGAGCTGGAATACCATTCAGGCTTTTTGTCCCAGCCATAGCAATAGCACGTACCCCCTCCTGAACTTACCCAGGACGAGAAAGCAACGCAGCCAGGCCAGCTGTTGAAGTAAGGCCCTCCCTCTTCCTCCCGCACACAGATCCGTTCGCACTTTTTTCTACAATCTTTTTTTCTTATTTCCTCGTACGGATGATTTGACACAGAACCTACGTACTTCCATTTGTTACCGCTGGCCGTTCTATCGTTCTCAGTGTGGAGGACTCGGGCATTGTGTGCGCTACATTTTGTTGGGGAACCACTCTGCCCTGGAAGAGGGAAATTCGGTAGCACAATTAATATCTCTGGTTTGTGTTCAACCAGCACACTGTGAGCAGTGCAGTGGGTTCGGACTTAGTCTCCTTGGTTGGCGAGAGTGTTGCTTGACATCCTTAAGAACCGCTGCAAAGGGGACTAGGTAAGAATCAGGTGGCTAAGCTTTCCGCTCCATGCTTAACCCTGCCTTACTGCCATTGAAGACTGGTAATGACTTGATGGAGGGGAAATAGCAGAAATTGAAACGCAATTGAAATCAAATTTGCAAGAACTTTAACGTTTATGGAAAAAAAAAACAATCTTGTGCCGTTACCACTGGTAACATACAGAGGAACAAATAATCAGTGTGCTATAAAAAAGGGTTTTAAAAGATCTTACCAACAGCAGCGATAGATAACAGTAGAAGAGGCACAAGAATAGGGCTGACCATGCTTCACGTTACTCAAGTGGTGCCCTGTGAAAAACCAATGACTAATTCAGCAATCAGTTAAAGAATGTTTCGTTTGAATTGGAACGCGGTTGAATTTCCTGCGAAATAACATTCTCTACTTGAACTATGAGAATCAAAAATATATTTAAAGGGTGTACCTTAAAAACTGGTTCGCTGATAAATCTCAAAAAGTATATGGGATTGCTTGAGTTGAAGACATATTAAAGAACCTGTATAGTTACGGACACTTTAGGACGATTTTCGCCTTTTGATAGGGACACGTTCTACAGCCTTTTTTTCGAACGAATCTTTTCTCAGGAAAAAAATTGAATTAAATAATTGATAAATATTTGGTTTCCTTTGTTTGATGTTCAGATTTCCAGGGGGTACAAATAGAAATGTTTAGCATAGAATCAAAAAGGAAATCAGCTCTTTATCAAAAGCAACACACTCTTTTAGTTTTATCTCTTCTCAATTTTTAGGTTCCAAGAAAATGATAAGACATGTAACTTAAGAAGATTTAAAGGCCCTTACTTTAAATTCCCTGTATATTCTTGAACTCTGAACTGAAGCTGCTTAACCTCGGATTTAATGTTCTGTCACAAGGACAAACCTGTATGTAAGGTTGTACGTTGTAAATTATGCAGGTTTAGGTGGCTGGTACCAGTTTTCATCTTTTTGATGGTTTGTAACTTTGAAAGAATATAACAAAAAGACTGACGAAGGCCAGTTGAACACTTTTACAGGGTTGACTTATATAATCATTGGTTATCCAAAAATAGGTGTCATTTCGTCACTATCAGTTTCCACGGCAACGCTTTCATAGGATTATTGAGAGGCATTTTTTAGCTTATGGGTTAAGTAATTTGAAAACCAACTCGGTGACCCCGTGATTTTTCTTAGTGATTGCTTTTGGCACTTGAAAAGGAAAATGCACAAAGATTTTAAAAAATTCTAGGGAGCGGAATTACAGAAAATTTAGAAAAAGGCAATTTTCACGTATCGCAAATGTCCTTCCGTAGAATTTCCTAGTTTTTTTTCTGACGATTCCTTTCAACTTTATTATTAGATTGGAACATTAAAAAGAAGGGGTCACGGGGTCACCGAGTTAGTTTTCAAATTATTTAACCCATAAGCTAAAAAATGCTTCTCAAAATGCTTCTTCTTCTTGCCGTGGAAACTCATAGTGACGAAATGTGTTCAACTGGCCTTCGTCAGTCTTTTTGCTATATTCTTTCAAAGTTACAAACCATCAAAAAGATGAAAACTGGTACCAGCCACCTTAACCTACATAATTTACAACGTACAACCTTACATACAGGTTTGTCCTTGTGACAGAACATTAAATCCGAGGTTAAGCAGCTTCAGTTCAGAGCTCAAGAATATACAAGGAATTTAAGGTAAGAGCCTTTAAATCTTCTTAAGTTACATGTCTTATCATTTTCTTGGAACCTAAAAATTGAGAAGAGATAAAACTAAAAGAGTGTGTTGCTTTTGATCAAGAGCTGATTTTCTTTTTGATTCTATGCTAAACATTTCCATTTGTACCCCCTGGAAATCTGAACATCAAACAAAGGAAACCAGATATTTATCAATTATTTAATTGAAATTTTTTCCCGAGAAAAGATTCGTTCGAAAAAAAGGCTGTAGAACGTGTCCCTATCAAAAGGCGAAAATCGTCCTAAAGTGTCCGTAACTCTACAGGTTCTTTAATATGTCTTCAACTCAAGCAATCCCATATACTTTTTTAGATTTATCAGCGAACCAGTTTTTAAGGTACACCCTTTAAATATATTTTTGATTCTCATAGTTCAAGTAGAGAATGTTATTTCGCAGGAAAATTCAACCGCGTTCCAATTCAAACGAAACATTCTTTAACTGATCACTGAATTAGTCACTGATTTTTCACAGGGCACCACTTGAGTAACGTGAAGCATGGTCAGCCTTATTCTTGTGCCTCTTCTACTGTTATCTATCGCTGCTATTGGTAAGATCTTTTAAAACCCTTTTTTATTGCACACTGATTATTTGTTCCTTTGCATGTTACCAGTGGTAACGGCACAAGATTGTTTTTTTTTTCCATAAACGTTTAAGTTCTTACAAATTTGATTTCAATTGCGTTTCAATTTCTGCTATTTTCCCTCCATCAAGTCATTACCAATCTTCAATGGCAGTAGGGAAGGGTTAAGCATGGAGCGGAAAGCTTAGCCACCTGATTCTTACCTAGTCCCCTTTGCAGCGGTTCTTAAGGATGTCAAGCAACACTCTCACTAACCAAGGAGACTAAGTCTGAACCCACTGCACTGCTCACAGTGTGCTGGTTGAACACAAACCAGAGATATTTATTGTGCTACCGAATTTCCCTCTTCCAGGGCAGAGTGGTTCCCCAACAAAATGTAGCGCACACAATGCCCGAGTCCTCCACACTGAGAACGATAGAACGGCCAGCGGTAACAAATGGAAGTACATAGGTTCTGTGCCAAATAATCCGAACGAGGAGATAAGAAAACAAGATTGTAGAAATAAGTGCGAACGGATCTGTGTGCAGGAGAAAGAGGGAGGGCCTAACTTCCGCAGCTGGCCTGGCTGCGTTGCTTACTCGTCCTGGGTACATTCAGGAGGGGGTACGTGCTATTGCTATGGCTGGGACCAAAAGCCTGAATGGTATTCCAGCTCAAGGTACCTCTCTGGTTGGTGTGAGAAATAATCATGACAGTTGTCGAAGCGCCTTTTGGCACCCGTAATGAACATTTTTATGTGATTTAAAATAAATCCTCAATTATTACCTTGGCCTGAAAAATAAACTCATTTTAGTGAGACGAGAATGTAGCGTTTGTATTTGACCTTTGATTTCATTATATTAGTACAGTCAAAATCAGACTCTACTTTTTAAAAAGTTGATGCGGGGCTGTGAAGGAGCCAACTTGTTTTAGGAATTCCTCAATCACCATCGGTAGGAAGGATCCAAAATTATCTACATTATCAGTTATTCCATATGCGGTGCTATGTCCAACTTACTCCAGAGAGAAATGAACGGAACACAAAATCTCACTGATTAATAATTATTCTTCATTCCTATCGCCTGTTGCCTTGATAAAATACTGATTGACAATTCTAGAGCGAAGCATATTTCATTTTTGCTTATTCACCACAAATGTGCAGCTTTTCCTTGTGAAATTTTTGGAGTTTGTACTCCTCTCTCCTGGTTACATATTCATATTTCACATTCCAGCCACATGAAGTAATGTGAAGGTCTGCATCTTCGTTTTTTTCTATTTTACCCGTTAAGAGGTAAACATTACCCAATTGAAGGTCCATTCCACAACCATCTGTCCTTGTCCAAGCTGTACCACTCCGCACAGGCCCTTGAATGGTCGCTATCGTGGGCATCACTTTATAGAATTAGGCACCTTCTTTGAAAGTATTTAAAATGGCGAGTGTATGAATTTTCCGGCTTTCCAATTCTGTAATTTGAGTTACCTTAGCTCTGATGGCTGTTAAGTGAAGACAAAAGCTCCGTGTTAAAAATTCTGGAAAAGGAGATTGTCTCGATAACAGTTTCCTATACATTCAACGATATCAATGCACGGAAAAATGACAGCTGAATTATGATGATAGCCTTCGTTTGGTTTCCCAAAACATTTTGCAGAATCATCCTTAAAATGATATACCGATAAATTTACCATCTGTATTACTTTTTTTCTCTAGGAACGTTTTTTTTTGTTTAGTGCGTAGCAGCTAGAAACCTTGCATGAGCGGTAGGATATTCAGTAGGTACCTCATACAAGACAACAAATGATGTATTGGTGTTATGGTTTCTGTGAAGTTACCGTAAGTGACAGGTTAAATGAAGTGAGCGATAATCGCGTAACACAAATAAGATAAGAATGCGCATCCAGTGACGTGGCGGAACCACTTGGATATTTTGTCGTAAGACCTGTCGGAAATCCCTATTTGGTGAGCGAAACTTCTAGTGATAGAGAGATATTCGGGACCAACTGAATTCGAACAAGTAAACATTACGAGAAAACTTATCGTTGTAGAAAAAACATGCGACACACGGTCAGAGCTATACGACCAGTGTATGAGTTAACAGATTTTACAACTATACTTCTTGCACGAGTATCCACCCTTCAGCTGCTAAAAACACTACATAATGTTTGTTTTGCATACGTTTTAATTTACGATTCTATGCGTTTGTTTGGTCTCCATTTTATTTTGTAAGTTTAAAATAGAAACACCCCAAAAATAATTGGAATTTCGTCGCAAATTGTATTCAAATTGTATCTATCTATGCTTGACAGAATTAAATATTTTACGGAAATCTTCGTGTTAAATTTTCCTTTCTTTCTGTTCACTTGTTTCGAAAAACTGATTTCAAGTGTAGTTGTATCTGCTATTGCGTTAATATCTGCACAGTTCTTTTCTTCGGCAGTCATGATCTCTTAGGTTGAGAATCTCTGTCGAGGATCGACTTGCTTAGAAAACTCGGATCTCATGGTTTCATCGTCACATAGTTTATCCAAACAATTCCTTGAAAAATACCGCACTTTGGTACACCAATACACCTATTGATCTAAATTCAACATACCTACCAAATAGACTGAGAATGCAGTACGACTGTAAGCATGTAGTTATCTGATAATACATTCATTTTAATTTGGATTAGACACACGTACGCAGCGCGGACCTATTTTTAACCTTTGGGCGATCCTGCACTTTTCTCTTGCCTTCGACTTGAAATGTCATGATTACCTCTTAACATGAACAGTGCCTCGATTTAACGGTTCACGAAGTCGAGGCCTGCTCGTAAGTTGCCACTGACAGAAGAAACTGTACGTAACGACAAACTCATATTTTTAAACTTCCCTTTCCACAGTCTTTCATCACAACTAGAAAAACTCAAACTTTAAAAGGAAACTTTATTTGCTCATTTCTATTTCATTTTAAGCGGAGAGTTTACCACAAGCCTGGCTAGTTCTACTACTTTTTTTTCTGGCCAGCGGTTCAAAAATATCGAACCTAGTCTCTTTATGTCGTAATGCACGAAGTTTCAGTGGTTTGCCGCATGTTTAGGAGACAGGGGCGTGGTTGGTAGGAACTGATTGTTATTTCTCCTCTCTCGTTGCTATACTTTTCATTGTGAATTAGATACGGGAATTTGGTTTAAGATCACGATGACAACTTGTACGTGATCAGTTTGAGTATTCTCGTTACCCGTTTCCCAGGGAACGAATGAATATCATAGGAAGAAGTTATATCTTAATTAGTTCTTAGAGTTTAAGAGAAAAAGGACAGGTTACGTCGCTAGAGAAAAACGCTGGAATTCTGAAGACAACAATCCAATTTGATCTGGAGAGTGAGGCCGCTAAGATCTCTCATAAATAAAAAAAATTGGCGGGAATTAACAAAGTATGGCTCTTATTTTGCAGCATGCAGTTCTCCGAAAATTGTGTTTATCAATCAAAAGTCTATTTAACAGTTATCTACTACCTAAGTGCAACATCTACATTTAAGAGTTTTTTTAAACTCGTCGATACTCTCGAACGGTAAAGTGCCAAGCGATTTTCAATGCTAAGTAGTCTAATCGTAAATCTTATAAAATTTGCCGCAGGATTGAGACATTGTTACCAGATGTAAGATGTGTCGAGTATATAACCATAACAAATTAACTGGGAAAGAAAAAAAGCATGATTGTCGAAAAAATCACAATGGATCATCAAAATCAATGGAAAGGGATGTTGCCTGTGAACTGTGGAGAAAAGCTCCTCAATCTGGAGTCAAATTTTCAATTTATGCGGGGGATGATGACCCAACAACCCTTGCAGACATTAAGAACAAAGTCCGTTATGGTGTTGAGAAATGGTCCGATGTTGTTCACGCCAAGAGATCTCTTAATACTAGACTATACAATCTTAGAGACCGCTTCAAAGGATCAAATTGCTCAATTCTCAGTCCAAAGGTTATAAATTACATAACCGAGTGCTTAAGTTTTTGTGTCAGCCAAAATGTGGGAGATCCTGAATCTTTAAAGCAAGGTCTCAAAAACATTATTCCCCATGCCTTTGGGGAGCATACTTGTTGCAATGTTTCATGATGTGGTTTCAAGAAAAATCCTGTTTCCTACAAACATACATACTTGCCAAATGGCAAAGATCTCTTTGGAGATTCCCTAAAAAAAAAGCCCTAAGTAACATTCTGGATGTATATTCCTCTGACACTGTAGTGAATAAACTGACCCCATGTGCTAATTCACAGAGAAATGAAAGTCTTAATAGCACCATTGGTTCTAAGAACCCCAATACTCGTTTTTATGAAGGCAGTGAAAGTAATGATTTTCGAGTAGCATGTGGGGTGGCACAAACCAATATTGGAACAACTACATTGGAAAAACATTAGAGATTCTTAATTTTGAGTCTGATTCTCTTCATGAAAGACATGCTAAAACAATGGACAAGAAGGTTTTTTTGTGACAAACAAGGAAAAAAGAAAAAAAGAAATTCAAGAGAAGGCCTGACCAGTTATCTAAATGAAAAACCTCGCAAACACTCAGGAGGGAAGTCAGTGAAGGGGTCACCCATGAGTCTTCAGTAGGTCTAAATTTGGATCCAACAAATCATCAAACAGTGTCACAAAATGCATTTGAAATGCCTGCAAAAATATCACTAACTAAGCTAAAAGGATACGAAGAGATAACACCACCCTACACTATAAGGCCAACAATTGTGCACTTACAATATGATTCAAAACAGAAATATCAATTTGTTATCTTTGACACAGAAACGACTTGCACAGGGAAGCTAAAGTCAAGTCTTCTGAGCGACGTGAAAATCAAATCACTGTTTTAATTGGTCATAATTCTGCGACGTTCGATGTCCCTATTCTCCTAAGAAATAGTAATAAAAACTTCAAGGATGGCATTACTAACATGAATGTCTACTTTGCGGATAGTCTACACCTGTTGAAAAAACTGATTTAAAAAAAACTCAAAGCACTTGAGCTCGATTCTGGTGGATACTGCAAACCAAACCAAAACAGCATTTATATCCATTTGTTCAAGGAACAATTTGACGCCCATGATGCTTTAGAAGATGTCAGGGCGCTGAGAAAAATTCTTTTTGAATCGTCATTAAACCTCCCCAGGAAAAACATCGTTGAGAATTCTAGTGTCATCAGTGCTCCCCACGCAGTGGCAAACATGCTCTACCTAGATCAACGCCACGAACTTCCTCTAACATTCAGTGACAACTTGGTCAACGTAACCGACACCGGACCAATTAAAAGATCAATGGCACAAAACATCGTTGACAGTGGTCTCTCTTACGATGACCTTCAAAAACTGTACACAAGGTTTGGTAAAAGAGGACTAGTCGCCATATCGTCTAATCCACCAACAACTTCATCGGCGAAGATACCACGAGTCACACGGACGAAGAGGATATTGGCCACCATAGTTAAACACTTCGAAGAAACCAGCAACGAAGAATAATCGCAGGCATAACGTTTTACCTATTAGAAGACTCACAATCTCTAAACAAACATTCCGATCGAAGCGCCAACCAACACGTGTTTTCCATGGAATTTAGTCCATTTCAAAGTTTCGCTTGTTGTTTTTCAATAAAAATGTGGCTAATATAGTCAGAAGCTGGAAGTAAATCTTTCAAGGTGAGCCCGGAAGGCTGTCTTTAACGGCTGCTGAATGACTTTCTGAGCAGTAAACGTTTGTGGACGTTTGTGATCGGATGCAGTAGGAGCTCGCGCGAGCACAAGCAATCGTCAGCGGTAGCCGTAACAGATCATGAGCAACTGTCGATCTTATAGAATCCGGATTTTTAAATGCGCGAGAACATGCGTGGGAATTGCTAAACTCACGAAAGCTGGTGACCCCTTCTTTTTAATGCTCCAATATAATAATAACGTTGAAAGGAATCGTCAGAAGAAAGCTAGGAAATTCTACGGAAGGGCATTTGCGATACGTGAAAATTACCTTTTTCTAAATTTTATGAAATTCCGCTCCCTAGAATTTTTTAAAAATCTTTGTGCATTTTCCTTTTCAAGTGCCAAAAGCAATCACTAAAAAAAATCACAGGGTCAGCGAGATAGTTTCAAATTATTTGAGCCATAAGCTAAAAAATACGTCTCAATAATCCTATGAAAGCGTTGCCATGGAAACTGTTAGTGACGAAATGACACCTATTTTTGGATAACCAATGATTACATAATTCAACCCTGTAAAAGGGTTCAACTGGCCTTCGTCAGTCTTTTTGTTATATACTTTCAAAGTTGCAAACCATCAAAAAGATGAAACTGGTACCAACCACCTTAATAGACACAAGCTTGACATACTTGTAACACCTGTAACGGGCATTAGGTGTTTTGACTGTTCTACATAATTTATAAAATCAGACCTTTCTACAACGACCACCTTCCTTGAGGAGAGGGAAAAGTGTCTATTGTGGAGAGCTGGTAGTTTTGGGGAGTTGACAATTCATTGTTGAATGCCCCGGACGTAATCAACCAATATACAACTAGAAAACAGATACTTTTGAATATCATATCACCGGCTTTTGTGGTGATAGGGAAGATCATTATAAAAATCTCCAAATATCTATTGTTTGAGACAGCTCATCATCGATACTTAACAACTTTTTCTAACTATTTGAACTTAAACTGTAACCCTGATCGACTGTTTCCCGGAACAAGCCTTAAAAATGGTAAATTCATTTTGCATGACTTTGAATATTTGGCTATTCCAGATTACCAGTCATCTTTCTTTTCGTTTTTTCAAGGAATAACTAATTCATACTGAAATGGCGGTTAAAGCTCCATCCGAGGAGGTCTAAGCTGTGAGTTAGTTCATTAACTCAGTGTTAATTTGCAATAGATGGCTTTAAAACATTACCGCCACCACCGCCCCCCCCTCCAAGAAACAGTAAAGAGATGTTAGGTTTTGTACCCGCTTTATTACCAATATCTGACAAAATGAATGTCAGTCTACAGACCACTTCAAAGTGCTAATGAACCATTCTATAACACCATATCTCCCATTGTTCGCTTATAACCGATCGAGCGAAGTGAATCAACAGTAACAATGATTAGCATTTCTTCAAGGCCTTGCGAATTTTTTCCCTGGTGTTATCTCTCCATGGCTCATACCAGCCGCACAGCTCGATTTCCAGTTGACCATTGCTGTTTCCACCGGTCAGGAGGTATATGTTTTGAGTTCCTTCGAGGTTAAGGTTTACACCACACTGCGCTTCATCGGCCTTGGTTTTGAGCTCAACAATTTCTTTTTCGTTAAACGATCCTATAAAGGATTGCGTAACTTTGATTTTGTAGATCACTGAGCCAACCGACAAAGGGTCATCCGATCTTTCCAAAACCTTGCCTTTGATAGCTGTTGTTAGAAAATTAAAAGTAGCGTAGTAAAATGAGGCACAGAAATGGGTCTACGAGTAAATTCATGCAACTCAGGAAGGGCGTAGCAAAAATAACGAAGCATTAACTTGAGACCTTGCCGGAATAAAGTTGGCGATGACAATTTGTGAACAAGGCAAGCATCGATTGAAATCAAATTTGCGTTAGCTCTATAGGATTTTGTGAATTTTTAAAGAAAATGAAACCTATTCCTTTGAAAATTGTATGAAAAGGAGATAACAATATTTAGCTGATTATGCTATCAACCATTTTGAAAACAGCTGAGAACCCAGCTGGCTCTACACGCAAAATCTCAATAGTTGATGCTCTGGTCACAATAGCAAATTAAAGATGGTTGTAAGAATAGAGAATGTTTGTTTGAGCAGGTCTTAGTTGTTCAAATACATCGTTGAAAGATGTAAAAAAAATAATGGTTTGAAGAGTATTATGTCGTAAGTGAGCGGCCAGGCTACTAAGTAGGTTTCAAAATGGTGGCGTCCGCAAATGCTAGGTTACTCTTTGGAATCTTCAAGTACGGTCGACGTCATATTTTTTATAGGCTTTTTAATAGCTGTGATAAAAAAAAAGGTTTTTGGAGTATGCTCTTCCTCTGAGAAATGTAGACTAAATTAGTGCTAAGCCGACCAAATCAATGAGGTAGATTTAACACTAAACAATTTCAAAGTAGAATCTCACCGTAGTCTGCAGCGCATAATCGTTGTTTGTTCCAGTACTCATAAGCATTTCCTTTCCAGTCTGGTGGTGGTACCGGCTCAGCGCAAGAGCACCCTTCACTTAAGGCCACAGCGCACAACAACAGCGTCATGTAACAGAGTATGGAGGCCATGATAACAGTCTTGTATTACAGAAGAAAATATTATTATTATCTTATGATATTATTTACAATATTTATGACATTAATTTTTTTTCTTCTATAAACTAAGGAAATGGATTTCGTCTCTCTGGTTATAATTGACTTGGATACTTGGATATCACTTCGTGTAAAACGTTTTGCTCAGATAAGTAACCCACGAATTATCACAGTTACTGAAGGATAGCATGAATTTTAAAGAAAAGACTTTTTTTTTTAGATATGGCGGCCATGACAACGGGCGTCGTTTTTACAAGAGCTACATCAGTGGAAGTCCAAATTTCTTTTTCATATAATATGTTTATTTTAGAGCACAATCTATATGAATATTCCACCGCCTTGATGTTTGGAGGCAAAATTTGATAGAATAAAAAAATGGTAAATTCTAAGTCAAGGAATGAATCAGAGAAAGACGATTCTTCGTCTTGTCACGGGTGTCCGCCTTGTGCTGGAATCAAAATGTTGCATTTTTATTACAGAACTTGATACAATTTCTGATTTGGCACAGGAATGTTTTTCTTTTTGGCACAGGAAACAAGTTTTTTCCGATCCCTCCAAGTTTTACCATTTTTGAACGTAAAAATTACTTCATCGACCCGATGGATGATTTTGAGATTACAGTTAAACTTAAGCAATGTGCGAAAGTCTGACTAGTGTAAAGATAATGAGTCGACGTCGTATCTTAACCATTAAACTCTCATGAGTGACCAAGACAGAATATCAATACAATATCAACCAGATAAGTGATGAGAATAAAGAAAAAAATCAACTTGGGAATAATTAGTTGATCCAATACTCAGTTCTCTAAACTAACTTTATGATAATTGTATGGTTGATAGGAAGGAGAATTACAAATTTGGTCTGGGAGTTAAAGGGTTAAAAATAAATATATGGTGAGTTGAACGCTTGCGAATATTCTCAAAATTAACGACAAAGACAATGCAGAATAGTCAACGTGTTTTCATCACTTTTAACCCTTTAAATCTCAAGATCTTATTAGTAATTCTCCTTACTGTCTGCCATACAATTCTTATGATGCCAATTTGGAGAATTTGGTATTGGATCAACTAATAATCCCCGCATTGATATTTTTCTTTATTCTCATCAATTCTATGCTTGATACTGTACTGATATTGTAAGGAGAAATGATCTCTTGGTCAATCGTAGGAGATAAAAGGTTAAATTATTGACCTTTTTTCAAATAGTAATGGAACGCATCACTTCTGATGAGGAGAGATTGCTATCGACTTTGGTTTAGAACTTAAAGCTCTTCTACATGCTAAGCACTGACGCCAATTTCAAATCACCAGTGTTGCATGAACGGAGTTACCGTCGACAAATCAGATTCTTCTCAAGAGCCTACTAATCTGTTTTTAAGAGTCTGTAGTCTTTTCTAATCTATTGCGCGCATAACTTTACCTCCAAGAAAGTGACATTAGATTTTGAATCCTGATTTATGAGATCACTTTTTGCCCTTAAAATCTAACGATTTTTCGGTTTTGGTCTTTTTCGTTGTTGTTGTTTTTCTATCAATTTTTGATTTGATGAGAGATCTTAGTGGCCTCACTCTCCAGATCAAATGGGATTGTTATCTTCAGAATTCTAGCGTTTTTCTCTAGCGACATATTGATCTGATTTTCGCAAGGGACCTTGAGCCCATTATTTTCTCTTAGTTTTTGCGAGTGGAAATTTCGGCCAATTTTTCGGTTTTTAACAGGCCCCAAATGTGCGGGCAAATAACAAGTAACGTTTGAAGTCGGCCGTTATGCCGATGTAAAGAAAATATGAAGGTTAGGATTGTACCAAAAAAATTGTTGTTCAAAGATAACTATTCCGCTAACCTGGTATCCTTCCGAAAGTTTTCCTGTTTTTGATAGCTTCTTCACTCGACCAATCAAAGCAAAACAAAAGAGAATAAATATGCAAGTTATCTAATTTTCTGTTTTGGATCAAATAAGATCATAACAACGTAAAGCTGAGCTTGTTTCAAGGTCAACTTACCTGATCTGTTCTGGTGAATTTGGCGGTCTGACCCAACTCATCAACGAGGTGCAGTAATAAAACCAAGTCACAGTAGGCCTGTTAAAATGTGCTGGAATATGCGGCTCCCTATTGGCTGTCGAAATTGTGTTTACTTTTTTAATTACCTTTTTTTTAAGAAAATAATATCCTTTTTTCTTTCCGGTATGAGACCAATTTATGATCATATCTGTTCAGTTACCGCTCCCCATAACTCCAACATGAAGGCAAATATTGTAAAATATATTACACTCATTTCATATATTGTAACCTCGTTTTTGAGGGGAGATCGTCGCACTTTTAAGATTTCCCTTATGAAATTTAAAGCCCCCTTTTTTTTCTCTATGAAATCTCTCGGTTTCTCTTATGGAACCCCATTTTTCTACCTAGGTGCAATCTACTTTTAATTGTCTTCGTATAGGTTTCTCTTCACTGATTGATTAAATTTGACCAGTTTCAAATAATGTAGACATAACCATGTGCACATCGACGTTTTCGTTCGCCGCGAAAATTCCATCTGAGGAGGTCGAAGATGTAAATTTTAAATCAAATTAAACTTAAGTTAAAATTTAATAAGTGCCAATTTGCAAACGGCGATTTTAAGACGACACCACCAGCTATGTTAACGTACAAATGAGTTGCCGACGAAAAAGTGTGAAAACCTTTTGAAAAAGTTTCGTTAGAGCATAAAACTTAAGATACAAATCAATGGAATTATAATACACGCGAGGAAGGCTTAAATCTAAATACGTTAAAAATAAACTTCAGATGAGAACAGAATGCCTGATTGAGAATTTACAAGCAACCAAATAGTTTCCAGAAAGTTCCAAAACGTTGCCGAGACGTTGCCTTTCAACTCATTCCTAGAGGTTTTTTTTTATGATAATTCAGTCTTCAATTCAATCGGCATCAATTGAGGAGGGTAGCGGAAAGATGAGAGAGGTTTTTGAGTGATTTGTGTACTTTTTTTCGCATATCAGATACTGATATTTCCTTAAATATAGTACACCACTAAAGCTCATAGTTATGGTGCTTGGTAATGTTCGTAGAAAAATAGTGTAAAAAAAAAAACAACAAAAAAACAAAACCAAAAAAACTCTCAGTGAAAAGAAAACCGCTACGTTGATAAACAAGGTTGCCATACCAACATTGTTACCTTCATGTGAGAAGATGTAAACGATTTATTCACTGCGCAAGGTGAGGATATCATGTTTAGATACAGGTCAGAGAAATTCTGGCTTTTCGTGAAAATCAGTATTAGTAATAATACAAATTAAGGAAAGGTAAAGAATGTATCGTGATTTTTTTACTGGCGACGGAAGAATTATGGTATCGACACTTCGAGAGTTTGAAATTACTCAATCATGGTAGCTTCCTCCTTACCTAATGTATTTTTTAAAAAAAAGATGTATCTCGGAGTTCTATGAAAGTCTCCCTCTTCGCTTTTAATGAACCAAATTTAAGGAAAAACTCTCAGTCGCTCAAGAAGTTTCAAACCTGAGACAGCCCTTGTCAACACGAGGTCGAAAACTCTGATCGAAATTTTGATTTACTGTTGTCTCAATCCTGCGGCAAATTTTACAAAATTTACTATTAGACTTCTTTGCATTGAAAATCGCTTGGCGCTTCCCCGTTCAAGAGTATCCACGAGTTTAAAAAGAAAAATGCTTAAACGTAGATGTTGCACTTAGGCAATAGGTAATTGTTAAATAGACTTTTGATTGATAAACACAATTTTCAAAGAACTGCATGCTGTAAAATAATGAGCTGAAACTGTAAATAGGTCGCGTTTTGGTACAGCTATTCAGAGATGATAACTGTAAAGGAATATACTATAACGACAACACAGGTGTCGTGAAAAAAGTTAATATCTCAGTGCTGAGATATTACATAATTGTTTGACTTCAGACGTTCGCTATACCTGTGTTCATAGTTAAAATGGGGAATTTATCGCGATAGAAGTAGTTGGGAACGTGAAAGAGAAGGGAAAAAGTTGCAAAAGGACTTAGCCGCTATTTGTTCGAACCGTTTGAGAAAACGGAAGTTCATGAAATCAAGATTCTTCCAGGCAGGAGCTTTTAAATGAAGGTAAGAATATCAGTGCGTCTTACGTACATCTGATAATACCAATATTTATCCCTGAGGATTAATACAACGCGAACGAACGACAAATGAAGTATCCAGCGCAGGTAAAGATGTACACTGTGAAGAATCTTTGTTTCCACTCAAATTCTTAAACATAGATTACCAGATCTGTATTCAGTGTTCTAGACGTACAGGAAAAAAAATCGTATCTCACAGGAGGAGTACCAGCGAGTCGCGAATGGTTTCAGCTCTGCATTTCGTCGAAGAATAGAATGGCACGAGACCCCTTATTAATCATCGGGCGCATTGATGTAAACCTGTTCAAAGCGGGTTCAAAGTGCGTTCTAAATACACGTTCAAATTCGTTCAAAAACACAATTTTAGTAAGAATTTTGCGAATGGCTGTATGTATTTATTGTCTCTTATGGCGCCACGCCTCAATTTCAGCATATCAAGTGTGAACTTTAATGATTTGCCGTCGAAGTTTCCTTTCACAGGACGCGCAAATGTTGGTGTTTTCACGTTGGATCTTTAATTTGGCCACCTTCTCATCGTCGTCTTGGTTTGCTTAAGGTCCCTTTGCCTACATCACTTGAAACTGATTAAATTTAATCAATCGGTGAAGACAAACCCATGCGAAGACAGTTAAAAAATAGAATGTACTTCAGCAAAGAAATGAGGTTCTGGTGATAAGAGAAACAGAGAGTGTCATGCACGAAAAACGGGGCTTTAATGAGCGTCGAATTTTCATTCGTTAATTGTGGAGAAAGTTAAGTGTAAAAATTTTCCTCTCCTAGCGGTAAAATCCATTGCCTCATAGAGACCTACTCTTTACCTCGAATTCTTTTGAGAGGGAACACGGTTCTTAACTTCCACCCGGTTGGCCCAGTGGTCTACATAATTAAAGTTTTGAGAACCTTTAAAGGAACGTTTGATGAAAAAGAAATTGTTGAACTCAAAACCCCAACCAATGGAATTGAAAATTTCTGTAAGGTGAAGCTTAACGTCAAAGAAACTTATCTCCTGACGGGTAAAAAAGGCGAAGGTCAGCTGGAAATCTGGCAGTGTGACTGGCATGAGCTTTGGAAAGATGATACGAGGAAAAAAATCCGCGAAGCCCAGAGGAAATGTTGATTATTGTTATTTTAAGTTAAGTTCGCTCGATCGGTTGCAGGCGAATAATGGAAGATATTCAATTTAAGCAAGGTCAATAGCTCTTGACCTGGTTTTTTTTAACCATTTATTTTACCAGATGGTGGGAATAAAGCGTGCATAACTCGTAAAGGCTCGTCATCGTTTCTTGGGTTGGAATGGGGGAGGGGGTGAGGGTAGGGGGGAGGGGGTGAGGTTAAGGGAGAGGGGGTAAGTGTAAGGGTAAGGGGGTAGAGAGATTATCTTATGCGAAAAATGACGTCATCCTGAATGTAAAAGAGTTTGACGCTTTTCATTGGGTAATCTATCTGCCTGTGAAACCAACTGGTGGAAATGTTTTAAGGCCACCTATTCTAAATTTATCGTCTCTTTCGGCACCACATAACGCACATAACACAAGATAAGCGTAGGAAACCACGACGCGAAGCGGAGTGGTTTCCAGCTTATCGAGTGTTCTCCCAACCTCCCAAGTGTTTACATCAGCCTATGTAAATACGGAAACCATTTTACATTTCTTTTATAAAATAACTAATGAAAGAGGAACGAAAACCGTGTTTACATACGCTCATGTAAAATGGTTTTATGGCCAATCAGAGCGCGCGTACTATTTGAATTATTTTATAAAATGTAATTCAGTCAAGTTGTTAGCAAATAAACGGCACAATTGTGGCCAAGTTATGGCAAAAGCTATCTCCAGCAAGCAAGAATAAGCCTGTGAGTTTAAATGAGCGAGAAACATAAAAACCATTGATATCTTCAAATAATAACGTGGTCGTCACAATAACCGGGTTTATCAAGGTGGTGGTTTCACTTTTGACGAAGGGTTTTCTTTTTACTATTCACTCCCCCTCCCACCCCCCTCAGTCATTGTTGCTGATTGAACTGGGAGACTCAATTAACATAAGAGGAGAGCTTTGGACATAAGTTGCTTGGTAACGTCTCGGAAACGTTTTAGGAACTTACTTGCAATTATTTGGTTGCTTGTAAATCCCCAAGAAGCAGTTTTTTTTCTCTTCGGAGATACAGTTTTAACTTAATGAAAAATTAGCTTTTCTCGTGTGTATGATGTTTCCAATGATTTATGTTTTAAGTTTTGTGTTTTAAAGAAACTTTTTCTGACGATTTTTATGCTTTTTATTGGGCAATTTATCTGCAAGTCAACATAGCTAGCGGTAATATTTCAAAACCGCCCTTTCAAATTTAAGTTAGTAATTATTAAATTAAAATTTGGTTTTACATTTTAGACTTGCAGACTTGCCTGTGATAAAGTTTTTGCGAAAAAAAGCAAGGAAGGACCTTAGGCAGGCAGGCAGAACAGTAGTGCTGAGGAAAATGTCCATTAAAAAAAATTAATTTATATCTTAAGTTAACATTTTGCGAATGGCTGAATGTATCTATCGTCTCTTGCGGCATCCCTCTCAACTTCAGCATAACGCATGTGAGTTCGTTGAGTTCTTTAAAACTTTAAATAGCTTGCCGTCGAGGTTTTCGTTCTCAGACTATGTAATTTTTGCTGATTTTGCCGGGAACGGTTAAGAAATGTACAGAGTCGCGTTAATTGCTGTTCTATCCATTAGCTCTTTTGCTTGGCCGCGTCCTCATTTCTTTCGCAGTTTTAATTTGCTTGAGGTCCTTATTGTCTTAATTGCTTGGAACTGATTAAATTTAATCAAACAGTGAAGATAAACCCATGCAAAGACAATTAAAAGTAGAATTCACCTGAGGAGAAAAATGAGGTTACACTAATAAGAGAAACAGAGAGAGGTCACGGAAAAAGGGCCATAGATTTCAAAATGACAATTTCTAAGGAAGATGATCCGGGGTGTCTTCAGTGGAAGGAATGGGAAGTGGCAACCGGAAAATATGAGTGAGTCTCATGCTAGAAAAAAAAAAAATAATTACTTAAAAAGATATTATTTTCTATAAAATACGGTAATTGAAAAAGTAAACGTATAATTGAAAGCCAATAGGGAGCCGCATATTCCACAAAATTTCATCAGGTCTACTTTGACCTGGTTTTATTACCGCATCTGACATACGCCCTCGCCATCAGTTGAGTCAGGCCGTCAGATCGATCAGAACACATCAGGTAGGTTCACCTTAAAAACAAACTTAGCTTTGAGTTTGATTCATTCTAATTTGATCTAAAAAGGAAAATTAGATAACCTGTATATCTATTCTCTTTTGTTCTGGTTTACGATGAATATGAAAGCGATCTTCGCAGTAGTGAACACTACTGAGACAACAAGGCAACCGGGTGTTGGTAGAGCACTGTACCGGTATCGCAGAGGTTATGGGTTCAAATCCCGTACAGGCCTGAATTTTTTTCAGGTCTAATTTTGATTACTTTCGTTGTCGTAAGCATTCGACTCATCGAGTATTTCTTTGTACAATACAACCTCGAATCATTATCTTTCCATTAGTCAGAATTTTGTATAAAGCTTAACTTTAACTGTATTCTAAAAATCAGTGAAATTGGAGGGGATCGGACAAAAACTACTGCTCCAACATTCCTGTGCTTAAATAGACATTGTGTCAAGTACTACACACCTTAAAAGAGCAACATTGTGATTCCAGCACAAATCGGACACTCGTTACAAGTGAAAGAAATATCTTAAAATTAAAATTTACCAACTTTCTTATTTTAGTTAGGAGCAAGGTGATCCTTAATTTTTCCTCCGAAAATTCAGATGCTGGAATATTCACATAGATTGTACTCTCGAATAAACACATTATGTAGAACTAATTTGGACTTCCACAGATCTAAACGACCGTTGTCATGGCTGCCATATTTGAGAAAACAGGCTTTCCTTCAAAGATAGCGCTGTTGTCACAATGATTGTAACAACTCGTGGGTTATTCATTTGAACGCCTTTGTGACTGAAGAAACGTTTTTTTGCCGGAACTATTTCGTCCATTTCATGTCCTAAACGAAACAAAACATCTTAAACGAAGTGGATATCTAAGAGACGAGATCCCTTTTCTTGCTTGGAAAAACGAAAAAAAAACAAAAACTAATAATTAGTTTCTTCGCGGGAGTAAAATGATTTTTTTGAGATAAAACGTCGGTAGAATATTGACAAGTCGTTATTTGACAACAAGCTCAGTCAAACAGCAATTAGTAATGTTGTTACTCTTACCACTGTCGTTATAATCATTATTTATGGGAAAAGGAAGAAATTGTTGTTGTTGTTTTTTTTTTCCATAATACGAGGCAGTTATCATGGCTTCCGTAATCTTTTATATGACGCTGTTGTTGTGCGCTGTAGCCTTAAGTGAGGGGTGCTCATGCGCAGTTCCTACGATACCACCAACCGCAGGCTGCTGGAAAGGAGATGCTTTTGAATACTGGAACATGCAACGGTTTTGCGATGCAGACTTCGGTGAGATATTTTTTTCAAAATTTTTAGTTCAAATCTATCTCATTGATTTGGTCGGCTTGGCAGTACTCTATTTTACTTTTCACCGAGGAGGAGCTTGGTCCAAAAACCATAAAAAGTTTTTTTGTAGGCAATTATGCTGAAACTTACTCAGTAGCCTAACTGCTTACATTTTCATTGTTCTCAAATTTTCATCACCACCTTAATTTCAAGTTGTTTTATAACATAGCTAATAAATTTCGCGAGCGTGCTTCATATTCCTATTGTGCACGCTCATGACGTCATTTTTTTCCATCGGGTCGAAAATCTTAAAAACAATTTTCATCGTCAGCTGCGCGTTCATTTCAAGTTGTTTTCAAGAAGCTAGAGTTGCTCTCGGCCACGCCACGAGCAACTCTTACGCATCTTTCGTGCTCTCCAAACTTCCCGCTTGCTTCATATCTCGATGAACGCACGCTGATGTATGAACCAATTGTTAATTCGAAGTCTTCGTTGACTTTGTCAAGCCATGTATTTACTATTAATTTCCTTAAAACAGCTATCAGAGCCAAGGTTTTGAGAATTTTCCATCCAGAGATTTATGATGGTGAGGACCCTTGGTCAGTTGGCCCCGCAAGCTACTCAGTTAAAGTTTTGAAAACCTTCAAAGGATCATTGCACGAAAAGGAAATAACTCGGTTAGAAACTCCAGCCAATGAAGGACTCTGTGGTGTTCACCTTAACGTTAACGGCGAGTACCTCCTCACCGGTAGAAAAAGCTTTGGGCCGTTGGAAATCATGCTGTGTGATTGGTTCGAGCCTTGGAGTAAAAAAACGTTCAAACAAATCCGCAAGTTCAGTAAGAAATGTTAATCATTGTTATTGTTGGTTAAGTTCGCACGATCGGTTGTAAGCGAATACAGGGAGATATCATATTCTAGAATGGCTCATTAGCTCTTTGACGCGGTTTGTAAAACCCTTTATTTTATCGGATGTTGGGAATAAAGAAGGTATAACACGTTACTGAAGTCTCCTTAGATTTTCTTGGGGTGTAGCAGAGGAAGCGGGGGGAATAACCCATGTGAAAACGTGTGGGAACTATCTATGCTTAAAACTACTTTAATTTAATCTATCAGAGAAGACAAACCCACTCAAAGACAACTAAAAGTAGAATGCATCTCTGAAGAAAAATGAGGTTCCACTGATAAGAGAAACAGAAAGATATCACGAAAATAGACGCCTTTGAAAAACTTTCTAAACAATAATCTCTCCACTAGTAAGACAATAAATATAACCTCAAAGAAGACAATAAATTTTTTCTCACAGCATATTCTGAAAATGGATTATTTTGTTGTTGTTGATACTTTGCTTTCTCATTCATTCGTTATGACAGGAAACAATTTTCTTTGCCTTATTATACAAGCTCAAAGAATTTCAAGACCCATCCTTCATTATTCGTCCCTTCTCCTTTCTCAGACTGTTGTAATTCTTACTCAAACTTTGGATTTTGCTGATATCTCTCGGTATCTCTATTGATGAATCCTAAATTGCATCTTTTTGTGAGATCTAGTGAGTTCTACTTCATGAAGATATCTCCGTCTTGACAACGACCTTTCTTACACAAGAACTTGGGTCACGTGAGTCTAAAATGACGGCCTAAAGAGTTGCATTAATTTAATTTAGCGTAAGTTGTTTTTATCATAACAACTAAATGAAAATCCAGGGAACTTGAAAGTGCCGCAATAAAATGTTAGCGTGTAATTGAAGGCTTTTTTTTCGTTTTTGCTGACTAACAGGTCCACTTTTACTTGTCAAACAAAGAGTAAATGACCCAGACTTTTGAATGACATCTTAACCAATGGTTAGTAGAGAGAATCATAATTTCCAAATGTCCATTGTTTGAGACATGGCGTATCATTGGTTATAAACAATTTTTTTCTGATTGGTCAAAACTTAAACTGTAAAATCCATTAACTTCCTGGGACACCTCGTTTCTAGTCCCCTCTCTTTTTCTTTTTCAAAGAATGAATAATTAATCCAATTTTATCAGGCCTACTGTGACCTGGTTTTATTACTGCACCTGATATACACCCCCGCCATCAGTTAAGTCAGGCCGCCAGATCGATTAGAAAATATCAGGTAGGCTCACCTTGAAAACGAGCTTAGCTTTGAGCTTGATTGGTTCTTATTTGATCTAAATAGCAAAATTAGATAACTTGCCATTCTATTCCCTTTTGTTCTGGTTTACAATGAATATGAAAGCGATCTTCGCAGTAATGAACACTACTAAGACAACAAGGCAACTGGGTGTTGAAAGAGCACTTCACCGGTATCGCAAAGATTATGGGTTAAAATCCCGTACAGGCATTAATTTTTTTCAGGTCTTATTTTCATTACTTTCTTTGTCGCAAGCGTTCAACCTCGAATCATTATCTTTCCACTGGTCAGAATTTTCCACATAGCTTATATTTAACTGTATTCTAAAAATCAGTGAAATTTGAGGGGATCGGACAAAAACTACTGCTCTGACATTCCTGAGCCAAAAAAGAAATTGTATGAAATTCCGTATACCTTAAAAAAGCAAAGCTGGTGATTCCAGCACAAATCAGACACTTGTTCCAAGACGAAGAAATATCTTTCTCCAATGAATTTCCCAGCTTAAAATTGACCATCTTTCTTACTTTAGTCAAGACCAAGGCGGTCTTTAATTTTTTCTCCAAGTAAAATTCAGGTGCTGAAATATTCATGTAGAATGTACTTTGGAATAAACACAATAAGTAGAACTAATTTGGACCTCCACGGATCAGTAAACGACCGTTGTCATGGCTGCCATATCTAAGAAAACTATATGGCTGTTCTTCAAAGTTAGCGTTGTCTTACAGTGATTGTAACAACTCGTGGGTTATTCTTTTTCACGCCTTTGTAACTAAAAAAACGTTTGGTTTTGCTGGAACTGTTTCGTCCATTTCATGCCTTAAACGAAGCAAAAATTTTAAACGTAGTGATATCCAAGAGACAATATCCTTTTTTTTGCTTGGAAAAAAGAAAAATAACTAATAATTAGTTTCTTCGCGGGAGTAAAATGATTTGTTTGAGATAAAACGCTGGTAGAATATTGACTCGTTGTTATTTAATAACAAGCTCAGTAAAACAGCAATTAGTAATGTTGTTATTCTTACCACTGTCGTTATAATCATTATTTCTGGGAAAAGGGAGAAAGTGTTAAAGTTTTTTTCTCTAATACAAGGCTGTTATTATGGCTTCCATACTCTGTTATTTAGCGCTGTTGTTGTGCGCTGTAACCTTAAGTGAAGGGTGCCAATGCGAACTTCCAACAATACCACCATCTGTAGACTGGACAGGAGATGTTTTTGAATACTGGAACAAGCAACGGTTTTGCAATGCAGACTTCGGTGAGATAAGTTTTTCAAAATGTTTAGTTTTAAATCTACCTCATTGACTCGGTCGGCTTGGCATTACTCTACTCTATATTTCACTGAGGAGGTGCATACTCCAAAAACCATAAAATCTTTATCGCAGACATTTAGAAAAGTTTTTTGGACGCAGTTATGCTGAAACTTACTTAGTAGCCTAACCGCTTATATGTACATTGTTCTCAAATTTTCATCGCCACCTAAATTTCAAGTTGTTTTCGCAGTCTTCGTTGACTTTGTCAAGCCTTGTATTTACTATTAATTTCCTTACAACAGCTATCAAAGTCAGGGTTTTAAAGAAGTTTGAACCAAGGATTCCTGATTATCATGATGACCCTTGGTCAGTTGGCGGTGCGAACTACACAGTCAAAGTTTTGAAAACCTTCAAGGGATCGTTTAAAGAAAACGAAATAATTCGGTTTAAAACTCCACCCCGAGGAATGTGTGATGTTAAGCTTAACGATAAGCGCAAATACGGCGAAACAAAATACTTGCTCACCGGAAGAAGGAGCAACTGGCCGTTAGAAATCATGTCGTGCGCCTGGCATGAGCCGTGGAGTAAAAATACGTTGCAACGAATCCGCAAGATTAGTAACAAATGTTAATCATTGTTATTGTTTGTTAAGTTCGCACGATCGGTTGTAAGCGAATACTGGGAGATATTATATTCTAGAATGGTTCATTAGCTCTTTGACGCGGTTTGTAAACCCTTTATTTTATCAAATGTTGGGAATAAAGCGAATACAACACTTTTAAGTTTCTTTAGTGTTTCTTAGGGTGTAGCAGAAGAGAAGTGGGGGGAGGTATCCCAAATGAAAACGTGTGTGAAAGATTTATGATGATGGGTTCTTTAAGACTGATGAGTACGTGAGGTTTTAAAAAATTTAAATAGCTTGCCGTCGAGGTTTCCGTTCTCAGACCATGTAATTTTTGCTGATTTTGCCGGGGACGGTTAAGAAATGTACAGTCTTGAAACGCACGCGCTAATTGTTGTTCTACACATTAATGCTATTACCATTGCGACTTCGTGATCAGAATATGGAAATGATTTATCATTTTCCAACGGAATTCATTTATCAAAAGAACTATTTCTCACTTCGTATATAGAAACATCCGTCACAACGGCTTGGGTATTTGTTCACGATAAACTTATTCACAGTGTATTGTAATTCGGTAGAATCAGCTGAGGCGCCCGTTTGTAACCAGTTGTCCCGTTCTGAACGCAAACCCAAGCACGAATGCTTATTTCATAGCTTTCGTCATCGGTGAACATGCTGTTCTCAAAAACTGGTTTATTCATCTCGCTATTTATACAAAAATTAATAAGTGCTACTTGCCTATTTTAATGGTGTTATGTAACAGTATGATTACCAGTCACGAGTGCGTCTTGCTCTGACTCGTATGCAAATTTTTTATGAGAAACCGGATTCGCTTTTTGTTTCAACATTTGTCGAATCACCGATCAATGTTTACCAAATTGCTCGAAAAAATGGAACGGAAAAATTAACTGCAGGATACATGTAGTTCAAGTTGTTTAAGACTCGCCGGCGCGAAGATGATCGAGGAAGGTTTGAAGTTTCAAAAAAAATTATCACCTGCGATGCAAACATCAAACTGTTTACATTCCGCGACGTGAACATCTTAGGGAGCGCAGTGAATACATTGAGAAGCATATTAGTAAGTATTTGTTTCGTTACTCGCTCAATGAAACTCGTGTTTCGATGCTTTGAGTAACTGAAATTTTCCTTCCCAGCTGATTCATCAGCAACTCAAATCAAGCAAATCTACTGCTATTGCTCGTTATCCAAAAAATTGGCGAAGCGACACGACATGCGTGAATGTAACATGATAGCTTTTTCCATTAGGTAACTTTTCCGTTGTCCACTCGCCGCTTTTTCAAACCTAGAAGTCCTTTGTTTCATACAACAATGAAATACAAAGGAAACTTATAGCACTGAATAACAAAGGCACATGAATCGCGCATTTTTTTCGACCGTGCGCGCAAAAAAATCGTACATACGCGTCTGACTACCCTGCGTCGGAGCGTATGAAATTCGTCTGCGCAGTTAACTTATACGCGAGTGGTACTGTAAGCGTAAACAGCTGTAACTAGGTAAGATTTAAGCCTAAGGTGAGTCATGTATGGCAAAAGTTTCTTTTTTTTCTGTTTTTTTTTTCTTTAATTCGTGATAAAACACTAAACGAAGTTTTGGATAAAAGAGGACCAGACGAAGACTAAATTGGAGTATTCGTACTTAAGTCAAATTGAGGTAGCTGCTTCAAGTTTCCAGCATTATCAAGCGCTACTATGTTGATTTATCTCTACTACCAATCTATATACGTCATAACCTTTAAAAGGGTATCAAAAAATGCCTAATCGTTTGTGAACAAGTTAATGAGACTTGTTTTTGACGTAACAGGTCCAAAGAAACACTGTAA